AGTTCCCAGGGAGATGGAAGAGAAAAAAAACAGGGTGTCCTAAAAAACGCATACACACACTTTGAATAATTATAAAGGCAGCGCTTATTAAACTACAGTTTATTTTCAAAATGGAGCTACCAGCAGTTAGAGTGTGTATACATTTTGGGGGACCCCCTGTATGAGCTACAAGTGATTGGAGAGGAAGGAAGAAACCCAAGACTATTCAGGGGAATGGAATTTCAAGGAAGATGTTACCAGTGTCACGTGCTACGGAGTTCCAGGAGAAGGAAGGCCTGTGGTACCCTTGCAGACACTATTTTCAGTAGAGGTGACGCTGGAAGTCAGTTTGCAAAAAATCATTAGGTGAGTGTAATTAGCCAGACCTAACAAAATTATTTTCATAACCCCAGTGAGACAGATATAAACTCCTAATATTATTTATTAAAATGTAAGGACCCAAGCCGGGCTAGTGTGGCTCAGTGGTTGAGCGCTAACCCTTGCACCGCGAGGTCACAGTTCCATTCCTGGTCAGGGCACATGCCTGGGGAGCCGGCTAGACCCCCAGCAGCGGGCAGCCAATTGATATTTCTCATTGATGTCTCCTTTGTCCCTCTCCCTTCCTCTCTCAATAAAAACATGTTTTAAAGAATAACATGTAAGGACCCAACTTCATTTACTTATTTTAGAGTTCTCTTTTCATTTCTTCTGTTTTCCCTCTTAGCTAGACCTGTCAGATTTAATACATAAAAATATGGGATGCTGAGTTAAACCTGAATTTCAGATAAACGATAGATATATATATTTTTTATATATAAGTGTGCCATAAGCATCACAAGACCTCACTAGAATTCTGCAGAATTGGGGGCACTGGCTCTGGAGTCACTGTTTGAGTCCTCAGACTACACTTAGGTGCATGGCCTGAGGCAACTTAACCTTCTGTACCTTAGTGGGGCTAATAATAGCAACAGCAGTAGTAATGGTAATGGTAATGGTAATGGTAATAGTCCTGCCTAGATTATTGTGAGTTGAAGTCTCTAGAGCAGGAGACACGGTTTTTGGGGACGTCAGTAATACTAGTGTGATTGTCCATTAATGGGGAATAGCAGGAACTTATTTGAATGTAAAGGGGGAAATGTGTGAGGTTCGTGTATTAGTTAGACTTTCAGGCCCAGCTGGGGTCGATTAATAATCACAGCAGACAGGCCATGGAAGTATACAGGCCCAGAATTTTTAAAAAATTAGTAAGAAAGATAAGGTAAGGTACGGGGGGCAGGGGGAAAGGGGCGAGACTCACGGAAAACTGGCCCACGGGTCTCTCTTGTCAAAAGGAGTGCGCAGCCTTAGGCTGTTGGCCCCAGGGCTGAGCGTGGAGGTTGGATGAGTGCAGGTGGCCCCGCCGGGCTCGCCGCTCCCCTGCGGGGTGCGTATCTGCGCGCAAATCCCAGGGCGCCGCCCCATCGCCGGGGGCGGGGCCGCCTCGCCTGCGCGTGGGAAGGTCGGGCGCGCGAGTGAGTGGCGATCCCCGAGCTGAGCGCAGGCGCGCGCGGCGACTCCGCGAACTCGAGCGGCGATGGGACGCCTGTGGCTTTGGGGGACCTGGGGCTTCTGGGGGCTGCTCCTGTGCGCCGCGGACCCCCGCACAGGTAACCCAGGGGGGGCGCCAGGGGAGCGCGCGGGAGAAGCGCAGGTGGGCAGGTCCCTGCTCCTGGGGCAGGCTGGACCCCTGGACACCAGCTCGGGGCCAAGGGGTGGGTGTCGCCGCCGCGCAAGCCTGGACCAAAGGACCTGGAAGGCGGGCCTGACCGAGACAGACCGAGGGAGAGGGAGAGATTGCTCTGAATTCATCCGTGTTGCTTGGGAGAGTTTGAGTCTCACCTGTTGAAATGAGACTGACATGTGGCCTGGGGAGTGGTGATGGGGGTCTAGGCCGGGCAGGCAGCCCGAGTCCTCCCTCTCTCTCTTCTTGGGTCCTTTGGCCCCACTGAGGGGAGGTCTCCCAGTGCGACAGAAGTGGGTCTTGGTGGCGGGTGCCAGTCACTTCCAGGGCCGGCTGCCCCGAGCCTTCAAAGTAATACCCAGGAGAGGGCTGGCTAGAGACTGATAAGATAAGAAATTGGAGTTGTCCGCGGAGATAACTGGAGGATGAACCTGAGATAGGTGAGGAGCAGCAGGGTCCTGGAGATAGGATCCAGCTGGAGTTTCCTCCCGGCGGCTGTGGGCTGCTGGAAGCTACCGAAGGGCCTGAAGCGGGAACAGCCGTGGGCTCTTGGCAAAGACAGACCCTTGGGTGAGGGGCTCGTCTTCATGGTGGAGGCTGTTGGCCTTACAGGTGAAGTCCCTGCTAAACTTTTCCCAGGCAGGAACGAACCAGACCATCATAACTTTGTTCACCTTTCTCTTTCTTTGTGCCTCCCCCTCCTACTCCCACTTAAATTTTCCCACCTACTCTGAGAATTTGTTACTGGATTTACTAGTACCCAGATCTGTACAGTTTAAGCAGAAAATAAACTCTACTGCTCACTGGGTATCTTTGAGTTGTTTTAAAGCACTGCTTACAGTTCTCCAAGGAAGCCACCCACCCACCTTCTGTCTAGAACTCTTTGACTTCCCCACTATTGGTCCAGCCTAAGCTAACTGATATTTGCCCTCCCAAATGCAGCAGGGGCACTCTTCTCTCAATAAGGGGGTGTGGCCCAAGACCTATGGATGAATTGCCCCATCGGAGTCATCTATGGCCCCTGTGCTGTCTTGTGTCACTCTGTACTGTACAAGCTAAACTTCTGGGAAGTTGGGATTGTTATGCATTTTTATATCCTCAGGCACAGTAACACCGTTTGTTAATGAATCCGTGACCTGTGCATTAAGAACTTGCTAACATCAGGAGGCTAGATCTTTCCTGAAGTCTTACTCTGTCATAGAAAACAATGTCTTCTTAAAACACACCATTCCTCTTTGCACCTGAAGTGTTCTTTGATTCTACTAGCTTTGCACTTCCTGTGTGCATGAATTTAAGGGATTAATAAGTGTTTTATAATATGATAGATAAGAATGATGAAAATGATCAATGAGTAGTAACTGAGTTAGTTAATGACTTAACTCGCTGTCGAGTCATTGGTTAGCAATAGAGCCAAAAATAAAACATTCAGACTATAGCCTTCATGATATTTTTCTAACGATGTTGTAATACATGGTATGAAATTTATGCTTGAAATGAAGTCCTTGATAATTTTCCCTCCACTGTATTTTAATATCTTTCAGATGGCTCTAAAATAATTCCCAAAGTCACAGAAATAATACCTAAATATGGCAGCATAAATGGAGCAACAAGACTGACTATCAAAGGAGAAGGTATGATTGCCTTTTTGGCTTTTTAATTAATTAATTAATTTTGGGGGGCCAAGGTTGAGGTATTTTAAAGACTACTTCTTTCACATTCAGGGCCTTATGACTTAAAAAAAAATCCACTGGAGTTATTTCTCCACTTGGCCAGAGTGGTAGAACTCAATCCCCTTTAACAGTTAATGAAATTGCCAAGAGTCTTCTATCAACAAGATCATCTGAATTCGTATTATAATTACTTGATTAATTCTAAGATCTGGGTTCTAATGACTAATCTATAGCTCAACTCTGCAATTGTTTGCTTTGCTCTTCATGGGTCTCTAATATTTAATTAGTTTTTATATCGAATAAAACATGTTGGGGGCTTGGGGTACAACGTTAGTAAGAGGGTATGATAGAGAAATAGGATGGTAATGGACGGAGAAAGGCAATTGACAGTAGAGCTTCGGATCCCTTCTCCTGCCACCAATCCTCATTATGTGCTGCATCAAAGCATGGGTTATGTATGACTCTCTTCTTGCCTGGTCTTGGGATGAAAATATAGTAAGCAATCAGTGAATCTATTTAATTACTACAATTAGAAAGAAATATGTGGTTCTTTTAACTACAAGGCCTTTGGAATCCAAATGGTTGTGGTACTTAGCTACTTACAAATGTTTAAAGATGAGAGAAAATTTTTAAAAGAATATTAACAAAAGTGATTACTTAGACTATAACAAGGGAAGAAATGAGAAGTTTTTTGGAGTGAAAGAATTAACAAAGCAAGATATGTAATTCTGATACATATATTATTTCTTTTTTATTTTATTTATTTATTTTATCAATGAAGGTATTACATATGTGTCCTTATCCCCCCATAGCTCTCCTACTCCCCCCCACCCCCCACCACCACACATGCCCTCACCCTCCTGCTGTCTGTGCCCATTGGTTAGGCTTATATGCATGCATACAAGTCCTTTGGTTGATCTCTCCCCCTTATCCCCACCCTTCCCTACCTTCCCTCTGAGGTTTGACAGTCTTCTAAGTAATATTTCTGCAGAATTCAACTTTCAAGGATATACTTAAAATGGTTTATACCTCTAAGTTGTGAACAATATATTTTGAATTAATGTGTTGTTTTTTTTTAGAATTAAACACCTGGAGGCAATGTATTTGTCAAAGACTATTTTTAAAATGTCTTTATCTATAGTTGCTTTATGTTGTAAATTGCTGTTAACAATGTGCTTGAAAGTTATTGGGTTTTTAAAAATATTTTTTACTTATTGATTTGAGAGAGAAAAACATCCATTTGTTCTTCCACCCACTCATGCATTCACTGGTTGATTCTTGTAAGTACACTGACCAGGGATCAAATCCACAGCCGTAGCTCATCAGGACGATGCTCCAACCATCTGAACTACCCGGTCAGGGACAAAAGCAATTTGTTTTTTTAACATAGATTTATACACATGAAAGAAATACCCAGTTTAAAGTAAAACAATAAAACAACCCAGCTATTTTCTTATCTTGAGACCTGAACTTTTTCTGATCCAGGAACCATAGCTTGAGTTTATGTACATAGATCCAGATCATCCCTAGTTAGAAATAGAAAAGACACTCCTCTTCTCTTAAGGCAGTTTGGAAGAATATCCTTGTTGATCCAGCTATCACCTTTGCTCTTTTGTGTACATTCTGAGGCTCAGGAGTAATAATCCTATGAAGCACAAAGTGGCATGGTGAATTTCCATCTTTCCCCATCAGCATCAATTCATAGGTGCTTTTGGCAGAGAATTCTAGAGCAGTTAAATCTTTTTGAATTGCAGATACCAGCACCTCCCCCCAGATTTATCTTCCTTCTCCCTGCTTTAATGACACACTGTTGGTGACTAAAAATGTGTTAGCATGTGTCTTTCTCAGAGGCTGAGTCTAGTTACTGTTTTATGTATGTTGGGGGCGGACATGATATGTATACAGAATGTGTATAAGGCAATGATAATGAATTTGCAAAACACACCACAGCTCCTATAGCTACATGAGTATGGTACTTGAACGAAGCTTATTTGGAAGGAATATATGCATGATCCATCAGTGTTGTCTCTACCTGGTGCTCCATGTGTAGAATGACACATAGAGCTAAGTTATTAACCACACAAGAACACTTTCCAAATGAAATTGTAAATGCCAGATGATTGCTCAAATGTTGGTCCCATATGTTGGTCCCAAATGTTGGTCCCTGTTTAAGTCCTTTTAACATCTTAAATCGATATTAACTGATTTGAGAGGTTGTGTTATTATTTTGCTAAGTTCTAGAGTGTTTCTAACTATTGGTTTTATTACATTATATTCAGACCTTGTGTTTATTAATTGTATTCCTTAATATTTATCATGTTTCCCTTTATTTAAAATTATTAGTAAGATAGAAGGAGTAATAATTAACGTTTGGGTCTTTTTTCTGTACTTTGCTGTTACAGTTGTCCGGTATATATATATATATTTTTGTTAATATGAAGTGTTGAATTACACAATTTTTATAACATTATGGCCTTCAGTTCCATCTTTGCCACTTCCCACTATGTGCCTGTGGACAAGGTATTGCTCTAAGCCTCAGCTTCCTCATCAGTAAAATGGGATAGTAATTCCTACCTGTTGTGGCTATTGTGAATATTGAAATGGATGCTGTATCTGAGGTGCCCAAATATGATATATGCCCCATAAATTAGAGCTAACTTATTGTGATTATTCTTTTGCATTTATGTTATAGTTTTAGTTTCATTCTTTAGGAGTTTATTCCATTACACTGCACCTTTTCCCCCCATGATTTTCAATATTACAGCTTTTAAGTAGCTTTATACACTCTCAACCCTGCTTTTCTGAAGGAGAGAGACTGTAACAGCCAGAATTGACCATGGCAGCTGGCATCTTCCATGAAGGCTGCTATCAGGAGGCCCCGGTTTTCGTGCCTGGCAAATCTTGTCTCCAGTTTTTCTGCAAAAGAAAAAAAAAATGCATCAACATGTTAGGAATTTCCATGTGAAGTCTCAACCTTTTCTGTTTCCAGGGTACACCCAGCCCTTCCTGTGATCTTTGTGCTTTGGAGTACTTCCAGGGGGATCTCTTTGTGCCCAATTATTTATTTAGAATTATGCTTTTCAATTAAAATTCTTTTTAAAGGCGATTCTTTTGAAATACTTTTTAAAAATATATTTTTAAATTAAAAGTCTTTTAAAAGGTGACTCCTCTGTATTTTATTAACTCTTTGGAATTAGCTGAAAAAAAAAAAAGAAATATTTCTATGCTTTTTTTTAACAACATTTATAATGAAAATATTTACAAAAATCTTACCAATTTGGTTCACATTTTTCCATAGATTTCACATTTTTCCATAGATTTTACTCCAGACATAGGGTCTGGAGGAAGTTACATTGGGTAACAAGTAATAGCCTTGGAATGTGCATCTTTAATATTATTTTTCTCTGAATTCTTTGTCCTTTGGAGTACTTCCAGGGGGATCTCTTTGTGCCCAATTATTTATTTAGAATTATGCTTTTCAATTAAAATTCTTTTTAAAGGCGATTCTTTTGAAATATTTTTAAAAAATATATTTTTAAATTAAAAGTCTTTTAAAAGGTGACTCCTCTGTATTTTATTAACTCTTTGGAATTAGCTGAAAAAAAAAAAAGAAATATTTCTATGCTTTTTTTTAACAACATTTATAATGAAAATATTTACAAAAATCTTACCAATTTGGTTCACATTTTTCCATAGATTTCACATTTTTCCATAGATTTTACTCCAGACATAGGGTCTGGAGGAAGTTACATTGGGTAACAAGTAATAGCCTTGGAATGTGCATCTTTAATATTATTTTTCTCTGAATATCACAAATATGCCTGGTGGACATCTACAACCCAGATTTTAATCCTGGGCCCCGCTTACTAGTTACTTATACTTGTACCTTAGTCTATGCTAGATGAGTCATGGTCAGTTAACGTTTAAGCTTAGAAGAAGAAAATGGTGTTTATTAAAATCCCTACCTTGTGTTGAGTTTCTACTTACTTTTTTTATATATATAAAGGATAGCAGAGGAGACATAGGGGCTGGAGGAAGTTTCATAGGAGAGAGAGAGCGAGAGGAAGAGAGAGAGAGAGAAACAGAAACAACTCCTAAGCTAAAACAACATCATCTTTTGTTAGTGTTAGTTTTTAGACTTGTATTTGTCTCAGAAAAGCTGAAGAACACATTTCCATTACCATATCATTCATGTGATTTTGTACCTGATAGAAAAATAATACATACATCACATCCTGAGCCACATCACAATGAAAGCGTTCCGTTCTTTAGTTAGTTGCCAGCATCCCTTCTGTGTGTTCCAAACTCAATGTGAGCTCCAAAGATAACCAGGAGTTGGCAAAAGGAACATGCGTGTTTACAAGTAGCTTGTTTTTCTGTGTGTTCATGTGTCTTCTCATAATTCCATTTTAGCAGTAACCTCCTTTCTAGATTCAAAACTGTGAGTTCAATGCAGATATCTTTTCATATGTTAAATTGATGCTTATATTTGTACCTTAGTCTATGCTGGATGAGTCATGTTCAGTTAACGTTTAAGCTTAGAAGAAGAAAATGGTGTTTATTAAAATCCCTACCTTGTGTTGAGTTTCTACTTACTTTTTTTATATATATAAAGGATAGCAGAGGAGACATAGGGTCTGACATTGGGTAACAAGTAATAGCCTTGTAATGTGCATCTTTAATATTATTTTTCTCTGAATATCACAAATATGCCTGGTGGACATCTACAACCCAGATCTGAATCCTGGGCCCCGCTTACTCGTTTTCTGTTAGTTTTTTAAAGAGATATTAATACTGAACCTAAACCTCAGGATTTCTGTGACTAAGAATAAGAGTAGATATCAACTAAGCTCTAAACATATGAGCCAGGCACCATGTTAAGCAATATATATATGGCTGTGCATGGACCAACACCATGGAATCCCTTTCACCAATGCTAAGCTCCCCACTGCTGTTGCTGAATACCTGGCCTGCTCAGAGACCAACACCGAGCTCTCAAGAGAGACCATCCTTCACAAAGTTCACCCCCCAACTTAGTGACAAGTTATCTGCATCACTCTCTTTCTCTCATGGGAAGAACAGAGATTCCTATTGCTGAACTGGCACCTACTCCAGACATGAGTTTTGCCTTCTCTTTCCATAGCGCTTTTGCCAGGACTGTCTTCTGAGCCTGATTTACTGCCAGGAGATTCCACAAATAGTGACTCAGAATAAGAAATGCATTTATTGTGAAAAAGTTATGATAACAGGTACATGACCCTGAAGCCTGCATCACCCTGAAACATACAGCTTAGTCGAATGATGAATGTCCTACAACCTTAAGGAATAGATAAGTTCCCAGCTTGGGAACAACATCCTGTGGAATGGAATGCTGTCCTTCATCATTGCCACATGCAGTGAGCCAATGGCTGATGCATGCTCTTGTTTCCCAACAGATAGAATACAGGGAGTTGGAAATGAAGGGCTTCCCCACCACCACCCCATCATCATCACTCCCAGTGACCCAGAAATTGAATCTGTGCTTTCTATCCTTGCAATTTTAGGTTCTTCCATGGCTCCCAATATGGGTTCCACTAAACTAAAACCACTACTACTACCTGATCATTTGAATCCATCAAACATAATTAGTAGACGACTAGAGATAATCAATTCTGATGATCATGAAGAGGTCGGGCAGCTTTACCTAGTGCAGATAAGGAGGAGTATGTCTGGAAGTCACAATATTCATGGAGGAAAATCTTGGCTTCCAAGTCCAGTGAATAGGCAATTATGGCAACCACAACCTAACAAGGGCAAGGCAGCTAAGGGCTCAGATCTTGAGGAGGAAGGTTAGTGTCACTCCATTAGCTGAGAGGCGAGCCAAGGATAAGGGAAATCTACAGTGGGTGATAGAGAGGGGCCAGGTGAACGTTCATTATAGCCTCAGGACCAGTTGTATTAGTGTGGCCTGTAGCTTGTGCCCCTAACTCCCCTTAGCAGAGCTCTCATACAGTCACTACCTAAGAGTCTTGATAATGGATTGTACTTACAGTATGAGCATGAGAATTTCTGGATGGTGCCATTTCTGGATGGACTGTATCAGGTGCCTTGTATGCTCAGCCTCTCATCCTCTTGTCCTCACCTGTGATTCTAGTCACAGCTGTGTCAAATAGTCCCCCCTGTACTGTGACTCCATCTATACTTTCAGCTTCTTGCCTTAACTTCTCCCAGCATAGCTTTGTCTACTGTCCCCGGGCTTCTCCAATGGAAGGACTTGGGACATGCAGCCCACATGGCAGATATGCTGCCTGAAAGGGCAGGGGGTTATTTCCCCCAGTGGGAACCCTCAGGTAATGGGGGCAGGATGTGATGAATAAATGCTTTTTGCTGTTGATTCTTCGATTGTGAAAGGCAGTCTCTATTTTTCTTAGAAGTTACCAGTAAGATTGAGTCTCAGTTGTCCTCAGTGGTGCCCACTTTTCTTTGTTCAGGTTTTACTCTACCTTGTCCCTAAGAAATCACCACCCAGATAAACTTCTTACAAGCCCTCACCTCAGACTTTGCTTTATAGGAACTCATGGTAAAATAGTGGTATAGTGTTACCCTCATGCAATCTTTCTATACCCTTTAGCATGCTTTTTTAAATAGCAATTATCTGCACAGGATATAGTATATAGCATCAGGTGATGTATACATGTAAATATATATATATAAATTTTGTCACCCTGGCTGGTGTGGCTCAGTTGGTTGGGCACCAAAGGGTTCGATTCTGGTTGGGGCACATGCCCAGGTTGCATGCTCCATCTCAGTAGGGGATGTACAGGAGGTAGCCAATTGATGTTTCGCTTTCACATCAATGCTTTTCTCCCTTCCTTGCTCTCTTAAAATCAATAAACTATTCTTTAAAAAATATATTTGTTTATTTGCTCCACCCCTCTCTATCCTACTACTGGAATATATAAGCTGTTTAATTCCACCGCATTTAATAGCACCTGACAAATAATCAATTCTCAAGAATTACTTTTATGATTTAAATTGATTAAAGTCTAACTTTTCTGCTCCCAAATAAGATTATAATCATAGGAATAAATATGAAATAAGCTAACTGCTTACTCAGTACTATTCCTTATTATTCATTGAATAATTCAATACTTAATGACAATGGTTAGCACTCTAAAAACAGAATCCATTAATAATAATTGAGTGTTTTTACTTTCCCAGGTTTTGCTCAAGCAAACCAGTTTAACTATGGAGTTGATGATGCTGAGTTGGGGAACACTGTACAATTAGTTTCTTCTTTTCGATCCATTTCTTGTGATGTAGAAAAAGATGCAAGTCATTCAACTCACATTACATGCTATACTAGGTATGTTTTAAACGATCTTTAATAACATCATTTTTATCATATCAGAAGTACAGTTATGCATATTAGTATTTTAATAGTTTTATCACTCTGGCTGTTAAAATACTATTTATTCTGATTATCAGCTGTTTTTGATTTTGTGATTTTAGACGATTTTATACCTTTATTACAATCAATTATAATGCTCTTTCCACATATGGGCATGATAAAATATATTCTATATTCTTGTCCAGGTTATTAGAGCTATTGTCATTATTGATCTCTTTTAGAAGATAAATGGCTACTATTAAATTGTAATGATGCTCCTCAAAATATAAAAATTATGCTTTCCTGTCAGGTTTGATTAATTTTTTGTTCAATATCTTGACATAGCCATTAAGATCAAAGACGATATTTTGTATAGTGACATTTCAAGTTTTTTACTATTGGCCCAAATTAATGTTTGTTAGTAATTTAGTGAAAAAATTTAATCATTTTAAACTGTAACTTTCAGTATTGTAACATGTAGCATATATTACAGAGGAATTCATCTACTTTAGGCTTGTTGGCTATTTGTTTTTTTTTGTTTTTTTGCAGCAAAAGCTCACTTAAGGAGAAACTTGATTAAAACTTCTTTTTAAACAAAGCAAGATGATATGTGACTTTTTAAAAAATACGTTTTTATTGATTGCAGAGAGCAAGGGAGAGGGAGAGAGAGAGAAACATCAATGATGAGAGAGAATCACAGATCAGCTGCCTCCTGCACGCCCCTCTGGGAATCAAGCCTGTAACCTGGGCATGGGCCCTTGACTGGGAATTGAACCCGGGACCCTTCAGTCTGCAGGCCGACACTCTATCCACTGAGCCAAACCGGCCAGGGATATGTGACTATTTTTAATGATTACTATTACATTTGTTGTCATTGCATTTATTTTCCAATAAGCATCAATGCATTTAGAATAAGCATTTGCTCGAGGTCCATAATTTAGAATTTGCAGTGCAGAATTCAGGAGGGAATCATCTTTTCAAAATGTAAAGTAGAACTTAACTGTCCACCAGTTAAAACTGTAGACACCCCTTCAAAAATGACATGTAGTCTTTTCACTAGTACTATGCGGTCAATAAAAGGGTCATTGCGTTTCTTACCTGTCCTTCCTTTGCCTTCCAGAGCAATGCCAGAAGATTCCTACACTGTTCGAGTCAGTGTGGACGGGGTTCCTGTTACAGAAAATAATACCTGCAGAGGTCTCATCCACAGCCGAGCGTGCAGCTTCTACGTATGTGGGAGCTCGTCTTTAACTTTCGGATAATTGATCTTACACTTCCCTTCATGTGGAACTGGGTTTTTATCTTTTAATTTTTAATTTTACAGATTGTTATCTGTGTCCACATTTAAAGGCATGTGAGCATGTAGCGAAGGATAATTTCACCCAGTTTTAATTATCTTCCATAGCTATAGAATCTCTTTTATTACTTCTGATCTCTTTAAAAGGTTTCTCCTTTTTAAAATTACTCTTATTAATGGGTTAAACTTTTATACATCCAAGTTATTTTCTTGTTTACACTTTTTTTCCTCTTTCTCCATTTCTGTTTTCGGCTTGATTCTTCTTTTTCCTATTTTCATTGGAGTCACCTTCATTTTGAATAGAAACATAATGATTTTTTCTTTCTCCAGTAAGCCATTCTCTTCCTTACCATGAAAGTGTGAAATAATAAGTCTGAGTTATCCTTAACCTCACATTTGGAAATCTCTTTTGTTGTTAGTCTAAAAATCTGTCCTTTTACTTTTAAGTACAAATCTGGGCTTTTTAAAAAATATATACATTTTTATTGATTTCAGAGAGGAAGGGAGAGGGAGAAAGAGATAGAAACATCAGTGATGAGAGAGAATCATTGATTGATTGCCTCCAGCACACCCCCCATGGGGGATTGAGCCCACAACCCGGGCATGTGCCCTGACCAACAGTGACCTCCTGGTTCATAGGTCGATGCTCAATCCCTGAGCCACGCCAGCCGGGCCAGATCTGGGCATTCTTTTGGTTGTCCCTGAATGAGAATGGAGGGACAACTGACATTTATTGAGAACTGACTTTGTGTTAGCTTATTTTGTTTGTATTATTTTGTATCCACGCATCCCGTTCTGCATCAACAACGCCCCACCTCCAAACACTTGATTTCTAAAAAAAATGTTGCCCGTGTTTCTGTGTTATTTCTGTTTTCTGCGGTGTCCTGTGTTTCTGTAGATGGATTCTTAATCTATTTCTAGTCCATTTGTTTTCCTCTACATTACAGTAGTTCCCCCATTACCCATGGGGGTAAGTTCCAAGACCCCCAGTGGATGTTTGAAACTGCAGAGAATACTGATCCCCAATCAACTTCCTCAACTCTGCCAGAATTGTGGCAGCAGCTCCTTTATTGGCAAAAGCAATAATTTTTATATTTTTCAGTCCTAACCTATTCCTGGCTCTGTGTAACCATCCCTGACTTGCAGCAAATGGCTTGATGTCACTCAACGCAGGGGAATCCCTTGCTGAAGTCTTCCTATCATTTTTTTATTTCCTTACTAAATCGAGAACTTTAACCTTTTCACTAAAGGAAGTACTTTACAGTTTCTCTTTGGCATGTCCAAAGGGGCAGCTTCACTACTCTTGTGCTTGGGGCCATTTTTAAGTAAAATAACGATTATTTGAACACAAGCACTGTACACCATGACAGTCAATCTCATAACCAAGACAGAGCCAGAGGTGGTGGTTGAGTTCTTATCACACTGCCTCACTCTGACCTTGCTTCCGTTGTTGCATCTTCTTCTCTGACTCCGGCCATTCTCTCATCCTCTTCCATTTATAAGGACCCTTGTGATTACATGGAGCCCAGAGGGTGATAATCCCAAATCATCTCCCTCTTCTAAGATCAACACATTAGCAAATCATCTCCCTACATATATTAATTTAAACTAAGAAGAAAAACAGGTAATTTATGATAATCCCAAATCATCTCCCTCTTCTAAGATCAGCACATTAGCAACCTTAATTCCATCTGTACTATCTGCCATGTAACCTAACGTATTCACAGGTTTCGTAGATTAGAGGCATGGACATCTTCGGGGGGGGGGGGGGCATTATTCTGTCTGTCACAAAGCATTAGTTTCTATCACACCCATGGCCTCCTGGAATTCTGCTCTCTTCCAGTTCCCATTTGCTATCACAGTTCTTAAGATTTATGCCTGCACTGCTCCAAAAAAGTATCTTAAGCTCGCTTTGATGGACTTTTGCCAAGTTTTGCTTCATGTTTTTTGAAATATGCATTGATGTTTTCCTTCTTGGGCTTAAGCCAAAGTAGACTTTCTTTAATGTTATTCTACTGAATTCCTAAAGTCTTTATCAGAGAGTCTTATCACTGTGATTTGACTTACACCGATAACCGAACGATGCTTGAATTTTAAAATTGCAAGCTAGAGACATTTTGAAAGGAGAGAGGATTTTTAGGGGATAAGGAAAAGATCTTGAATAATCAGAATAATATCCTAAACTTTATTTAGATGTAACAAGGAATATTTTGATAGTGATCTTATGGATACTGTTTAAATAGAAATAATGTAAGAAGCAGAGATATTTCATAAAACTAGGAACAAATTAGAGATAAGACTGCTTAACGACAGTATTATTTTACAGGCAAAAGGTTTCAGAACTCCAACAATAAGGAGCATCACACCTTTATCTGGGACTCCAGGTCTGTTATATGGCAGCTGAAATATCTTTTTGGTTTGTGGTAATTAATTTACTTTTTAGTATGTAAAATTATTATATCTGAAAAATTATAAATAGCATTTTTCTGATTATACAATAAATGCCAATATTTTTTATAAAATGATATTCAGTGTCTGCATAAGAATCTATTTAATGTATTTAACTTTCCTCCTATTGGACATTTAACTGACTTTCCATGTTCATTATAATAACTATAGTTGTACCAGTTTATAACTCCAATAGGAATATATGAGAATGCCTTTTTCTGTAACCTTGACAATTCTATGTACAAATTTTCAAGTATTTATATGGAAAATGTAAATTTTAAAAAACATTTCTAATTTTTTAATTTATGTAATTAAGTTTACTTATATTTGCTGACTATTTGTATTTTTTCTTTTATAAATTACCTGTTTTTCTCCTTAGTTTAAATTAAATCTAGTCAACATTTTAGATTAGATTATGAGAATTATTTATATTTTAAGGATATTAACCATTTATATGTCATATATGTAGGGAATATTTTTTAATTTATCATTTGCTTTGAAAATTGATTAGCAGTTCTTCTGTCATTCAGTTGCTTTTAGTTTTTATTATCAAATCTGTAAACCTTAACCTTTGTTATTTCTTCTTAGTTTTTATGCTATAGAAGATTCCCAAATCCCAATTATATAAATATTACATAAATTTTCACCTACTTTTCAAGAGTTTTATTTTTTTATTTAATTCTTATTTCACCTAGGGTTGATTTTATTCTTTAGTATAAAGTAGGGACTCATTTATTTTTTTCCAGTTAAGTCACCCATGACTTCAGTGATATTTATTGAATAATTCATTCTGCCAGGAAGCACCTCTTTAATCTATAAATATTTGTAGATACTTCCTTAATACTATAGGTACTCATTAATGTTTTATTGTATTTATTGTTTTAGAACAATGCTAAGCTGTACTGGTGAGCATAAGTCATAAGTATTTGGATGCCCATTTTATTGAAAGACCTGCTAGCATTTTGGTAGTAAGTGTGTGGGCCTATGGGTAGATTTTCTTACAGAATTTTTTGTTTGTTTTTAGGTACACTAATAACAATCCAAGGCAGAATCTTCACTGATGTCTATGGAAGTAATACTGCACTAAGCTCAAATGGGAAAAATGTTAGGATTTTGAGGTAAATTATTGATGTGGGAACATATTCTTATAAGGTATAAACCCAAGATGATATTCCAGAAATAATGGGTCAAATTACATTAAAAACCACTGCAGTGGAATTAACCAGTGTTTTGTCAGCCATATTATAGGGAGAAAAAATAGACTGTTGGATGATGCGTTGACATGGAGACATCATTCTTTTCCTGTGATGGATTTTAGTAATAAAAGGCAGATGGAGGCAAGTGCCAGAGCAATTGAGTTTAAGTCACAGAACTTTATTACTAGGGAATTTTGTTACTTAATTTAACCGCCTCTTTTTGCACACATAAAAAACAAAAACAAAACCCCCCCATGAATCCTAAAGGTCCAAAGCTTAGTCAAGGTCAGGAGGAGACTGCAGGTCTGCTAACGTGCAGTTTGCCATGGTGTACAGAAGAGTGCTAAAGCTGGAAACCATCAATAACTTATCAACAAGCTTGAATTTGAATCCTGGTTCCTCCACTTACCAACTGTGGACCAGATGGTCATATTGTCTACATTTTGGACTGGAAACTAGCATTTTGATTAGAGTTCTCATCCTGTAGCATAGGTGGGTTATCCCAGTCCTGCCTTACAAGACTGAAAGTCTGTTCATTTCCTATCGAAGCAAGTACCGAATCAGTACCAGGGCTTTCAAGTGCTTCTGCTTGTTGAATACATATACCAAGTGGACAAATGGATAAATTAAACAATGTAGACAGCACACAGACATGTACATTGGCACATATAATTTTTGTAAAACATGCAATTCAAAAGGTTTTATTTACTAAATGAAATAAAGTTGATTTATCTGGCATTTTGTGAGGCATAACTCTCAAATAACCTTTGCATGAATCTATAATCTGGAAATGTTCATATTGATCCTTATATGTAAGAAAATAGGGACAGCTTAGCATAAATACAGATCTTGTTTGCTACTGTATAACAGTGTTACGAATGATTTCTAATTCTTAGATGGGATTTTCTAAATCATCCTTTTCCATAATACTGCCAAGAAATAGGAAGTTTAACTTTCTAAAAGAGATTCCTTTTCCCCCCCTGACTGTAGCTGAAGTTACTTCTGTTTAATACAAAGGAATGGATGGAAATTAGGTCATAAAATCACAGAATTACAGTCAGCAGGGACCTCAGAGGTCAGGCTACCCAGCCCTCACACTCTGGAAACCCTGAAGTACCATGTATAAATAAACATAGCAAGAATTTCACATCCCTATTCATAGGAGGAGAGGAGACCTTAGACCTGCATTTATCTCATTTCCACCACATTAATTGTGACAGTAGGGTTCCGAGGCACTTCACTGTGCCTGAATTCTATTAGCACGGAGCAGTGGACCGCGTACTGGGCAGGAAGGAAGGACATCGCAGTGCTCAAGCTGCTTCTGCTACTCACACGTCTTGTCGATTTGGCCAAATCTCCAAATCCAGACCAGGTACAAATTATAGAGGACATGCAAATGACTACAGTGATCTAGTGACTACCAAGGAGACTTAGATCCAAAAGATCAGATGAGTATTATCATAGACAGGCAAATGCAGACCAGTGTGGGAATTACTGGGTGGTTAAGAGCAAACAGGGAGCTGACTGCCTGAGTTTAGATTTTTGCTCTACCCTTACTGGTCACAGGCTTACGCAAGCTACTTAACCCTCCTGTCTCAGCCTCTTCATCTAGATAGTGACAGGATAATGGTTACCAGTTTATAAAAGGTTGCAAGGATTAAACATGGTAAGTGCCTATAAGTGTTTGCCAAAATTATTAGTTAGGTGCATGAGGCAGGGGATTAGAGGGAGGATATGAATCCATAAATCTATAATGGGTACAATAATTCAGGTTACTTTCTTTATAAACCTAATGTACTCACCAAATGAAAGGATTTGTAGGTTAAAGTATATTAAAAAGTTCAAAAAGGGGACATCTGTAGTATTTTTAACGATAAAGATACATTTTTTTGAAATGTTCAAAATTCTCTACAAACAGAAGTTCTTCTATTTTAAGTTCAGGTTTATGCCTGGCCTTATTTTGAGTCTGGGATTTGCTGTCACAGAAGCTGGGTGGTTTATTATGATGATGCCAAAAATACAATAGTAGTAGGTCTGGGATTTGCTGTCACAGAAGCTGAGTTATTATGATGATGCCAAAAATACAATAGTAGTCAGTAACCTGCAGGCCTCCAATAGCGTCAGGTTCTATCAGCCGTAAAGCAATTGGTTGACTTTATCAGCTGCAGAAATGCAAAGACAGTTGTTCTCTCTCTCCAGCCTTCCCCTGCTCCTTCTCAGTTTCTTATTCCCACTTCAACCTTACTGATGCTGTTAGATATTCTTTTCATCCTGATTACTCTGTTATGGATCTTCTTTAATTCCTGTAGTATGAAACTTACTGCAAAATTATGTTTCATTGAACCTCAGATGGAAGAGTTCCCATTATCTGTTTCTATGTTTTGTATTCCCATAGTGCTTATCACTTGCTAACACACCAAATATGTTCTGATTGTCATATTTATGGTCAGTCTCCCCAGTTAGAATGTCAGTCCCACAAGGCCAGGGATCTTTGTTTTTTGTTTTGTTTTGTTTTTTGCTGATGTGTTCCAGTACCTAGAGCAAGGACTGCAACATAAGAGGTGTTCAATGGATGTTTGTTGAATGACTAACTGATGGATAATGAGTGATAGAAAAAATACAAGGTGGCATTGAGTTGGTGGGAGGAGAGCATTTTGAAACAATTTATTAAACATAACTTGTTCTTTTCTAATAAAATATTTATACAGAGTGTATATTGGAGGAATGCCCTGTGAGCTTCTTATACCACAGTCTGATGATTTGTAAGTAATTCAAATAATTTTCTTTAGAAAAATAAATAGTAGATATAAACATACTAAGTTTAAAGAGTAAACTCTAGCAATATCACTTAGCTGAATGCTTTATAAAACAATATAACTGATAAATTTTATAGTAAATTAGCAAGAATTTATAAACTTAGTTATTACCTGATATCTCCCATTGTCTCCAGTATAGTATGATATTGACTTTTATTTAGATTATTATGAGAAAGATGTTTTGAGAAATATATTTTATCAAATAATTGTTTCACTTGGTAATATTTTAGACTTTAAGAAGGATATCATAGGGATAGTCAAATTAATTACACAAATTTCATTGTTCGATGAAGTCTTATTCAAATATCTTCAACCAAAGCTGGGAAATATTTTAATTTCACAGATATTATTTTTGTAGCAACAGTTTCTATCCGGATACTTATTATGAAATTCATAAGATGTTTTTAAGGGAGACACAATATTTTAAAATTTTAGTGTCAATGTACGCTTTGAAATTAACACATATATTTTATTAGGTATGGTTTAAAACTAGATCATCCAAGTGGAGACATGGGTTCTATGATTTGTAAGACGACTGGAACTTACATTGGTAAATGCTGATCATCATTCTTCATATTTCAGAAATGCCTGTTTTCTTGTTTTGTATTCTCCTGTAACATCAACTCTTTATGAAATGCTAGCATTTCCTCTTTTCCTTGGCTTCTTTTCAGTTTCCTGTAAGCATGTCTGAAATAAATTCCCTTTTTCCTAAGGTTTACATTTAAGGTAAGCTTCTTCAAATTTCTTTTTTCTTCTTCTTCTGTCATCCAGAAGATTGCTTGGCAGATTTAGCCATTTCACTCTGTTTTCGCCCCGTGCTCCATGTACTCCATATCCATAGACCTCTTAGTCTTTGAACGAGCTTCAGGTCCTTCTGTCTCAGGGCTTTTGTAAGCTTCCCATCCTGAGAACCTGTAGATATAAAAGCCTAAGGGACCATTACGACCAAATGACCAGAATGATGGTCGACCAGTCACTATGACGCAAACTGACCACCAGGGGCCAGATGCTCATTGCAGGAGCTGCCCCCTGGTGATTAGTGCGCTCCCACAGCCAACCTCCCGTGGCCCATCCCCCCGGCCGGCCAGCCGGCCAACCTTCCGTGGCCCCTCTCACGCCCCCCCCCACTCCCCTCCCCCTGGCCGGCCAACTTCCTGCACCCCTCTCCCCCAGGCTTGCCAAACTCCCAGGGTCCCTCCCCTCAGCTGGGTGGTCCCCCAATAGGCCAATCAGGCCTAGGGAACCCACCCGTGCATGAATTCGTGCACCGAGGCTCTAGTTTTAGATACCAGTAAAATGTCTTGTCTTAAAAAATAAATAAAAATCCTTCCCTGATCCCCTGCCTTACATTCTCAGAGTTCACACTCCTTTTTCTTGATACCTTTTTCATAATTTATAATTGCCTGATTGTGTCATTGCTCTCAACCAGCTGTATCCCTCACTAGCTAAGATGCTTTTAGGAGAAAGCAAACTGTGTGCTCACTCTCCATCTCCCAACCCCTGGCAGAATGTCCGACCCAATTAAATAGCTATTGAATGAATGGAAGAAATTTGGGGTCAATATGGTTACATATATTGTATATTATATATATATATTAAAATAGTAGGTGCTTCTTTAAGGTAGTTCTGTTGTCCTGTCTTTGAGGATTAATGGATGGTTGAATAATTACAGTTTCAATTTTAAATTTATTTCCTTTCAAATCAGCTTTATAATATATAGTTATTGTTCTCCTATGATTGGGAATTTAATTGATTGTGCATTTTAATTAATTCCAGGTCATCACAATGTCAGTTTCATCTTGGATAGTGATTATGGAAGGTAGGTCATTTTGTAAGTAATAATTTTCATAATTGATTAAACTGGGTAAATAAAATAAAAGAATATATTTACTTTGTGCTATAGATCCAGAGGTTAAAAAATTAATCATTTTCTTCCCACAAATTAACATTTTAGGGGTCTGTAGCTTCCTTTCACGCAGAGTTCTCTACCATGGCAGGATCACCCTATTCCTGGGTGCATTTGCAAATGTGTGGAGATATTTGTTGACTGACCCAGAAACTGGCCATGCTAATGGCCTTTGGTGGGCAGGACCAGGATGTGCCAAACCTAAACGAATTGTTCTGCCCAAAATGGCATAGCATCTTCAGATATGTACATAAATCACATTACCTACCCATCAAATACTAATACAGATGTATTAGATCAATAACAAGATTGGTCTGTTGATTTCATTGTTGTCTCTGATGAGAGACTCAATGATTAGAAGTTTGAAAGATGGCAGTATTACAACCAAAGTAGATGTTATACCTGGCGTATGCTCACAGACTGGAAGAGGATATTTGTTCCCTCATGCCTGGAACTGCAGTTGAGTTGGTGAGACCAGAACTATTATCATAGTATTTTGAGATCATCTAGTTCTAGACATCTTGAGGCAATAGGTTCATAACACAGCGATGCCTGTGCTGGACACTGTATTATAGACCAATATAGATTGGACCAAAAACCATGAAGAATGTTGTAATTCAGGGACAAACCAGAGTGGATGATATGTAAATGGTACTAAGATTTACCTTTGTGATTTACATGGGGCAAATAACTTAGTGTCCCATGAGTTAACTGTCATTTTCTTCAAGGACATGACATATTTACATAAGCTTGATAAAACAGGATAATAGGATTTTATTGAAAATGTGAGAAAGCCATGTTAGGAGCAATAATTATTGCGTTTTAAATGATTTCTTGAACTATATATGGTTCTTTTAAGCTCTCAATGTCATGTTCTTCACATGAGAAAAGTGAATTCTTATTTCTGAGACTTTGAAAGGTATTAATTGCCAAATCCATCATATGTCTCTCAGAGAAATAATTAGCCAAAAATAGAAGGTTTGAGTGATCAAGATTGAATGTGATTGATAAGTATACATAAATCAATATGCTGCATTAACATGCCCCCAAAATTTCAATTTAACAAAGCCAGCAAAATTTCACATAATTTAGGGAAATACCGCATAAAATGGTTGATTCTGTGATCTTGACATAATTTATTAACTCAAATTGCTGTCTTTTTATATCTTCTCAGAATTGATGAAATTATGTTTCTATATAAAGTAATCTTAGGAATTTAAGATAACTTAAAAATACAACATTCACTACATGAAAACCTATTTTTAAGATTATATGGCATTTTTTAATGCTAAAAATTTTTATAAATCATAAAATACATGCTTTACAAATTTTCAGAGGCATTTCCGAATACCAGATGATCTAATTAAGGGCCACTGGGGCCACCATTCTGTATTTCTTTTAATAGCCAACCTTCTTTCCTCTATTAACCAAGTACAAACAACAGCTGTTCCAAACTGATAAGGTTCAGATGAGGCTGCCTTAATTGAGAAATGCCTCGTCATTATCAGTAAATTACTGAAAATCACCTCGGTGTCATACCAAATAAATTACATTTCAATTTTATATCAGGAGGCAATTTCCCCACCAACTTAAGCAGAGTTAATTTTTCTGATGCTGGATCTGCCCGCAGGCAATATTGTTGGAACTAGCATCATTTCAGATGTTTAGGAAATCAACTGACAGGTTTATAACATAAAAATGTCAAAACCAGCATGCATTTCTTAAATAACCAGCATAAAATACTTCCAGGGACTCTTTAGTTATCAAATGCACATTGTAATGCCTGGGTTAGATTTAAAGGGAGTTCACTGTTGGTCTCAACCACAAGATTTGTGTTATCCTAGTAGATTTTAATTCATTGTATTCTAGTTAATTATGATGAATGGGTGTGAGTCTTAACATTTGAATTTTATAACTTTTCTAATTATGCATTTAACTGGGGTAATTAGGGAGCCACATTTAATTTCTAGAATCAGATTCTTTTCTTCCCCACACCTTCATGCTTACCTCTGGTGGACTGTGGTTCACTTGCTCTCATCCATTTTTACTCTCATGCAAATTAGTAGGTCTGGAGCCAGGGTTCTGGGCTCAACCTACCAGAGTTCAAATTCTCTACCTGCCACTTACTCTCTTTGTGAGCTAGTGTAAGACAAGTAAATTCTCTGAGTTTTGCCTACCTTGTGGGGTTGATATAAAGAATAAATGGCTCAATAAATTAAAATATTTTTTTAAATTCGTAACTGCTTAAATCTCTTAGCTTGATACCTGATAAGTGTTTAATAATGTTAGTTATCATGACACTAAGTGGGCTGGCTATAAGAGAAAGAGAGAGGGGGGGGGTGGGTGGGGCAGCCGAAGAGCACAGCCTTTATAAAAGGTAATCCTCCTGTTTTTTATGGTGATATAAATTTTTACTTTATTGGGTTATAATTTGCATATAATAAAATGCACATATTTTAGGGATGCAGTTCAGTAAGCCCTGACAAAGGATATTTGTGTAGCATTCATATACTTCTACTGTTGTGTAAACAAAAACGAAATCAAGATACAGAACCTAACCTTCCCTAAAATTTCTATCCAGTTCCTTTGCAAATTATAACACAATTTATATTACTAATAATTTTTTCCTAAAAGTTTGTATTTAAAGTAAGAGTTTTTGAACTTTTTTTTTAAACAGGAGTTTCCCAGAAAAAATGGCATATTTTGTTTCCTCTCTGAATAAAATTTCAATGTTTCAAACATATGCAGGTATGTGATCTTTCAGTGTGTGTGTATGTGTGTGTGTGTGTGTGTGTGTGTGTAGAGTGACTAGGAAAGAAAAAAATACATATATATATATATTTCATTTTATTAAATCAAAGACAATACTGACTTAAGGTGTGCTATTTTATTTCATGTACTTCTATGAAGTAAAACCACCTGACACAGAGAGTCAAGTCTAATAGGAAGCCCTGGCATTAAACTAGGGCCCTGAAGACTACATTCCTAGTGTAAGGTGGCCTGGTAAATAAACCCAATTGCACCGAAAGAGACAGAAGGGAAACTTGCATATCTTCACTTTGGCTGCCGATTGAAGGAGGAAAAAAAATTCTGCTGTCAGTTTAAATCACAAGCCAGATATATGCTCTCAGTGTGTCTAAAAGGATCCTCAAGCCTATTACAATTTATTTTAATTTACACAGGTCTCAGGTTGGTAGTATTCCTAGGAGAGTGTCAGAAGCAAACACAAGTCTTCTTGAAAGAATTTACTCCCAGCTCAGGAGTGATGGAATTGGCATATTCAGGTTTCATAGATGTTCAATGTGAAAGAAATGTGCCTTGGAGTCAATCAAATATGATATACTTTATATTTTTATGGAAATTTATTTAATGTGAAGTTCGTATGTGAAACTGAAAGGTTCGGCTTTGGGCTGGGGTCACACAGAACCGACTCAAGGCTCTCAAGGCTCAGTGTAATCAAAATGATATCTATTCAAGGCACCTGGGGCAGGCAGACTAAATCTGAGAAAGAAATCAGTGGCAAATGGGGAGGGATACATAAGACTTTGATAGAACTAATAAGAATACATTTTAAAAATATATTTTTATTGATTTCAGAGAGGAAGGAAGAGGGGAAAGATATAGAAACATCAGTGATGAGAGAGAAACACTGATGGGCTGCATCCTGCAAGCCCCTTACTGGCGACTGAGCCCACAACCCAGGCATGTGCCCTGACTAGGAGTCAAACCGTGACCTCCTGTTTCATAGGTCGACACTCAACCACCGAGACACACCAGCAGGGCAAGAATACATTTTAATAAGAATCTATCATATGTCATGCACTGGGCTCTTTTAACAATGTAGCTAAAACTTTTCTATATAAACCACAAGAATTCCAATCAGAGTTAATGTATTACTACATAAAAAATTATAACATTCATGCTTCAAGAGCATAAGGAAGATGAGGCTCTTCTCCTGTCTTCCTGTGTTTTCTTTTGGAATCAAACATCCATGCTCAGCCCAGGTTTTCCTTACTTCCTGGGTCCTCCCAGTACTCGTGTCTCCTTCGCATCAATCTCCACAAAAGCCTGGTCCCTGGGAGATGCAGGTCTCTATGAAGGCCATGTTTATTGTCCTCTTCAGGGCTGCATCAGAGACAAAATAACGAAACACCCAATTCATTTATTCGGTGATGCAAAACCTACACTAGGTGCTATGGCTACAGGCAACTTAGAAAAATTTTTAAAAGCAAGCATTTGGGTTTATGTGGAATGTTTATGACATTTTAGTTCATATGCTTCTCCTCCTCCTCCTCTCCAGAGATCACTATGATTTCACCTTCACAAGGAAGCATTCAAGGTGGCACCACGCTAACAATAAGTGGACGGTTCTTTGATCAAACAGATTTCCCAGTGAGAGTTCTAGTTGGAGGTATTTTTCATCACTTTTATTATATTACTTTTTAAGAACCAATTCTGCCTTTTTCTTTAATAATTTGTAAGAAGAAGAAGAGTCCTTTCTCAATTAACATCTTAAATTTAAAGCTGCCATCCATAAATCCCTTGCCATACTTATAGACACACCTACCCTCTGTTTAATGAATCCTTAAAGGTCATTCTTGAACTGTTGTTACTTCTCAATGGGTTGGCTAAATATGAGTAAATTTAAAGTAGTACTTGTGGATACTCTCCTCATGACCCTTCTCAGATACTGCGCCTTGTCTGGACATCAGCAATTACTGATGATATTGGCCTTGGAAAGAGCATTAATTGATATAAGTGGTCACAAATGTACGTAGGGGTTGGTTCTCTGGTTATGCCTCACTTGAATGTGTCTAGTCTTGATCTGTTCAGAGGTAGGGAGCTATGCAGCTCAAAAGGGAGGTCAGGATGAATATAATAATGGGGATCTTACCACTCAGCTGTAGTGACCTAAGCTACCTCGATGAGCAGGAGAAAGGATGTCTGCCTATGCTACTGGCCCATACTTTCTCAGATACAGGCCTCTGCTCAGATGTTTTCTACTTTGAAGGGATTTCCTCATAAGCCAGCCAAAATGTGATTTCAAGAAGAAAATGAATATAAAGTAACCTCCTCTAACATTTACACAATATCGTTCCTATCTCTGTGAATTATTTCTGGTTACTTGTATAAATATTAAAATCTAGGCCACAGATTTTACAGCTTTCTATATGTTATTCTGATTTTTTTAAATATAAGTATGTTTTGAATATTAAAACCAGGGACATTATTTTAAATTTTTATAATGTGTTTTATGATCTGATGTTATACAGTTGATATGCAAATATAACATGTAATTTTTATGATACTTCTTTGCTGTTAATGTGATAGCCAGATTTGAGATTTTGAATCCTCAATAATTTCTCGAAAGTAATGATTTGAAAATACCATTTACAAATTATTATCCCTTTTGTTTTCATTTGAAGAACTTGGACCAAAGCACTTTTTACTTTAACCTAAGAGGACTGAGGTCACCTGTTTTTATAAATTGGGAACATCATGGGTTTATTCAGCAAATTTTCTTCACTGATCAAAATATAAAGCTTCACTTTGGACACAGAATTATATTGTGATATAACTTTTATCCAATTTTTAATTTTGTTTTTCAGAGATTATGCAATTTTTTTACTTAGACTTGTAATATTTTGCCAAGACAATGTTGCCTTATGAAAGTGTGACAACTAATGGGTGATAAACTTTAATGAAGGCCCCCACGCTTTGCCCCTGGCTTGGGCTAGTTTGTTTTAATTGGAAAAGTGCTTCAGGACAGGCTGATGTATTTACATTCTGAAGCTCTGTACCTTGCTTCTCTGTAGGTGAAGCCTGTGATGTTTTGAATGTCACAGAAAATACTATATGTTGCAAGACATCCCCTAAGCCTGATATTCTCAGAACTGTACATCCAGGTAAGTTACCAGAAGAAATGGCCATTTCTGCACTTGTTTAGGAAGACTATTATCGGTGTATGTCATTAGTGCCTTAGTCCGTTTGGTCTGCTATTACAGAATGCCATAAGACTAGGAAGCTTATAAACAACAAATATATATTTCCTATAGTTCTGGGGGCTGAAAAGTCCAAGATCATGGTACTGGCAGATTAGGCGTCTGGTGACAACTGCTTGCTCATAGATGGCTCCTTCTTGGGGCTAGGGAGCTCAGTGGGGTCTCTTTTAGAAGGGCACTAATCCCATTTTTGAGGGCTCCACCCTCATGACCTGCTCAAGGATTGCACCTCCTTTTTGGACAAAACCAGATCCTCCTATTACCATTACATTGGGCATTAAGTTGCAGTATATGAGTTTTGGAGGAACATAGCCAGCCTACAGCAATTAGTAAAAAAAAATTATTTGCACTTTTTAGAATTTGTAGTTAGAATTATAATACATTTCTTCCTAGTTTTTTTCTTTACACTTTCTGGATTAGGAAATATTTGTATTAAAATAGCTACATCAAGGCTGCACCAGTGGAAGTAAACCTGCCCTAAATCCCTCGGACAGCCTACTAAAAACAGTCATCTCTTTTGATAGAGTACCCTGCTGCCTTTATCTCAGTTTAGATGACGATTACTAAATGTTGGTACAGACTACATGGTAACTTAAATTATGCCTTTCCCTGGGTAAAAAAATAAATGGCAGAATTTAATCCTGCCTTGCCCAGAATGATTTAGGTATGATAACGGAAGGAGAGAAATGGAACTCAAAATTCTTTATAGACTTTCACCTGTGACCCAGTGAGCATGCAGCTGATGGCCTTGAAGTCGCTGTCATTCCACTGAGATTCTGGGCATGTGTTTGAGTGGGCTGTGTATTTTGTGTGTACAGTGAAATCAGTTCATAACTACATCAGTGGCTGGTATTTGAAGCCAAATAAATTCTGTTTACCAACCTCTTAAATTTCTTTGCTTTGAATGATATTAGAAAAATGACCAATTTAAGAAAAGAATTTTGATATTTATAATTGATAATGCCAAAGAAAATGACATATATCAGAGAATGAAGTCCTAAGCTTTTCTCTAAATAAACTCAGTAAAAGAGGAGTAGCCATTATTTTCCACATCCAGACACTCTACCCAAGCTCGAGGCTGCTGGAGGAAGTCAGGAGCCCTATTGTTGTTGTGTAGGAAGAAAGAAAGAGTTCAATGACTTATTTTTTGGTGAGAAAAAACTTAATCATAAGGTTTATGGCAAATGTAGATACACCTTAAGGAGAATTTTCTCTCTGGTTCTGTCCAAAAAGGGGAGATGAAATCCTTTTAACAAGTGATGTTAAAAAAATATATAAAAATAAAAAATTCTGACAAATCTTAAAGCCAACAGTATCTGTTCTTTGATTGGCTGTAAGGTATTGATTAATGTTTTGATACAGAGAATAATCAAGGCACAGACTTGGTGGTCAAATGGTCTGAACCTTCAAGTTTTTAGACTTAACTATAAAAGCAGCATCAGTCATTTCATAGGTAATTATTATGTTATCTTTTTAAATATATTTTTGTTGATTTCAGAGAGAAAGGGAGAGGGAGAGGGAGAGATAGAAACATCAATAATGAGAGAGAATCATTGATTGGCTGCCTCCTGCATGCCCCACAATGAGGATCAAGCCCACAACCCAGGCATGTGCCCTGACCGTGAATTGAACCGTGACCTCCTGGTTCACAGGTGGACACTCAATCACTGAGCCACACCAGCCAGTCTATATTGTTATCTCACGTAAAACATAAGTACCAAATATTTTATATGTTACATATGTAAAAATATATTGCATATCTCTTATAATCTAATCCCCACAGCATCCATACAAATAGTAGATTACTCCCATTTTACATATGTGGAACCTGAGATGCAGAGAAGTGAAGTCATAATAAATTGCAGATGGTCTTAACAGCACTATATCCTTTAGATACAGGAACATGTGGTAACTGTTTTAATTACACACATGTTGTAAAAATATGAGTTGAAATAGAACATCTATAACCACACCCAAACAGAAGGCCATTCAGACACCATATCAAAATTCTGATGAAAGGCTTCTTTTATTTTATGTTCAGGTGGGAGAGGTCTTAAGCTTGAGGTATGGAATAATAGTCGGCCAGTGCATCTTGAAGAGATACTTGAATACACTGAAAAGACGCCAGGCTACATGGGTGCCAGTTGGGTAGATTCAGCTTCCTATATTTGGCCCGTGGAGCAAGACACATTTGTAGCACGCTTCAGTGGATTTTTGGTGGCTCCGGATTCTGATGTTTATAGATTCTACATCAAAGGTGATGACCGCTATGCAATTTATTTCAGCCAGACTGGGCTTCCAGAAGATAAGGTAGGAGAGACAAAGGTAATCTTTGATATAATTAAAACAATATATATGATAATCTTTATATGTAATCTATATAATTTATTGTAAGCCAATAAATTATATTAAAGAATTCATGGCATATTTTTTCATGTGGCTGGATTCTTGGCTATTTTTAACATGTGTATTATGAACTACCTATAAAGTTATTATAGAGAATCCATTATCTAAAATAAAATGCTCTCCCATACCTAAATTTTCTCTTTCATGGGAAAAACACGTATGAGTCCTTTACAATTGAAATTCGTTTTTATTATGAAGGAATTATAACTATAACAGAGAAAATTTTGGAAAAGAATAAAAACTATTTTGCCATACTTTTAGTCACTTGTGAAATTTAAATTTGTCATTTCATTATATCTCTGTTTTGTTCTTTACATAAATAGGATAGTGCATCCAATTTCATAGTCCTCTTTTGTCATGCATTAGTATGTCAACATGTTATTAAATAATTTATATAACACCATCTTAATGACTGAATAGTATGTTATTGCATGGTTTTACTAAGCTTAGGTTACTCTCTCCATACTGGTAAGTGCCTTACTTTTGATTTTTATGACCACAAATAATATCTTATCAAACATGTGTCATGAAATTATTCTGTATTTTAGATTGCTCCCTAAGGTAATTTCATAAGTGTGAAACTATTAGATCAAATCAAAAGAACATTTTATGACTCAATATGTATGCAAAGATCATCCAACTGCTCACATGATGTATATGCTACCTGTGATATATGAATTCCAATTTTATCATAGCTTTCCAGTATGCTTCCTCCAAAAATGGTATAGTTATTCCCAATGGGAACCCACAGCCTTCTCATTTTAGGATGCAGACCCACTTAGTGATCTTTCAGACATATTTTAATGATCTCATTTGGATTAAATCCCTTGAAGTTCTCTTCAGAGCAAAAGAACATTTTATTAGACAATCAAAGCCGTTCTCCTGCTGCGTGTCTATTTTCTCTTGCAGTTTTAATTGTGGAAAAGCTGTGGTCTGTGCAGTATGTTTGGTATAGCGGGGCTGATGTTAGGGCAAAAGAAATGAAATGAGCTTTGGTAATTATTTAAATTCCATTTAATCATGGGTAACAGTTCTTAGAAAAAAATATAAAGTAGCTTCACATTTTTCTAGTCATAAAAGTGCAAAGACTTACCGAAGTAATAAATAGTAAGTGCTGAAAAGGTTTACTAATATTCTCTCTCTCCATCTCTTCCTCCCCCTCTCCCTTTGGAATAAGATAAGGATTGCATATCATTCTTCCAATGCCAACAGCTATTTTTCCAGTCCAACACAAAGATCCGATGACATTCATCTTCAGAAAGGAAAAGAGTAAGGTTTTTTCTTTAAATTACTGTGTGGTATTTAAAAATTATAAGTTTGTGTCTAAATATATTTTCAATTTATTTTTATTGGTGAAAGTGATATTAGTTTACTGGCTTAATTTGTAATTGGTTAGCCTCTGTAGTTTTAATAAATTTCGTTTTATATTCGAAGTATATTGGCATTACGATAATCAGGGAAATTTGACAACTAAATGATCCCTGTTGCTGAAATTATAACTTTGTGAGATATACTTAGTTCCATCTTTATTTTTTCACTAAGACCATTCAGTCTATCAGGCCATCGAATTTCTCTGCTTCTACAGAAACCTGAGCTCTTGAATATTGCTAGGAAAAAATTACAAAACCACATGATTGGTGCCATAGTTAACACATATTTGTTATTCAATCATTTATTCAAGATCCTGGGCCAGGTATTGGAAATTTAATACAAAGGATATCAAAATACACTGCCTGTTCTTAAGAAGTATATCACTTAGTGTTCAAAGGTCGAGTGCAGAGAGAAGATGAAGGTACTATTCAAAGAGCAGATAATGTCATTCAAAAAAATCATTCAAGATTCCTAGAAAACAGGGAGATAAAATGCATGATATATTTAAAATAGCTAAGTTACATGAAGAACATCAAGAGATTCATTGAGATCATTTTCCATTTATCACTTGTATCTGTTAGCATTTGCTGCATAAGAAACCACTCCCCAAACTTGAGTAGCTTGAAGCAACCCAATTTTGTGATTGGCTGGGCAGTTCTTTTGGTGCCGGCTGCTTTAGTTGGGGATTGATGGCATAGGATGGCTTCGCTTACATATCTGGAGCCTCACTTAATGCACTTGGAATTAGTTAACCCAGATGTTCCCCTCCACATGGTCTCTGATCTTCCAGGAGATTATAGCCCAGACTTGTCGCAATGATTGAATGGCTCCCCAGCAGGAAAGAGGGCAATTCCTAATGCACATTTACTTTTCAAGACTCTCTGTCACATTTCCTAGTATCCCATCAGCCAAAGCAATTGGCCAAACATAGATTGAAGGATGAAAAAATAGATTTCACTTCTTGCTGGGTGGAGTTTTATTTATTGATTTATTATTCTACCATATCACCCTTCTAGACATTGATGAGATTTGGCTCCTAGGCAGCACCATGAAGATCTGGTGGAGCTGGACAGAGGGTAGGGATCACTGGTCTGGGAGCAATCACACAGTGTTCTCCCTGAGGTCTTGGCCACAGTGATATGTGGAAAGCAATTCCATTCTTTTTCTCCTCCTCCTTCTACCTTCACTTCTTTACATTCCTAAACATTTCCTTTTTAAACCAAGATCACTGGACCATTTCAGGGAAAATGGAGTACCTAATTAATCCCTGCAGCTCCTCAGTGTCAATTCACCTGCAGGCTTTGCCTTGGCCTTGGAAAATGAGTTCAGTTTACCAGCTTGGCAGGAACACAGGGCTCGCTTGAAAGCGACTCCAAATGCATCTGCTGCCTGGTCTCTGTGCTCCTGCGACACTAGCTTGGAATTTACACACTGCGCTCAGCATGGTGGCTGTGAATTCTGAGACTGAGGCCACGCTAGCTGCTTTATTGCACAGAGGTCCCTGAGGGTTTTCCAAAGGTAGCTCATAGTTCATTCTACTCAGATGATGTAGCCTCATCGTGAAGTGCATGTCTCTTTGGTCACCCTGTTCTACTTTGAATCGTACCTCAGTTACTATTTCAAATAATCTTTCAATTTTTAAAACTCTTTTAGTCTCTGTTATCATAGGAACAGAGAATAAGGATAATATATGTTTTATAGGATTTTGTGAAGATTCAATATAATAATGTCTGTAAAGTATTCATATTAGTGCCTAATAAGTATTTTTAAGCTGCCAGGTGAGGATATAGAATTGAATGGTTCTTCGTTGAGTCCTGCCCATTCGTGTTGTCCGCCTCACTTTGGTAGAGCTGGCAAACAGGTCCTCAGGGCAGCCAAGAGCCGGATGCAATCCTCCGATATCAGTTCTATAACGGGGGTGACCCAGAGCCCCATCATTCTAGACAGATGAGAGCTGATAAATGCCCCTCACTCAGTCTTCCATGAACTAAAGATACTTATTCTCCATATATAAGAGTATGTGTATAATGACTGAGGCAAGTCAGAGGGACACCCAGCAGTCCCCTCCAAAGATGGGAGCAATGAGAACATTGCTAGAGATTCAGGTAGGGAAGCAGTAGCTTTGCACTGACCTGTAACAGCTGGTCAACGAATGCCTTATCCTGGATAAGCAGTTGAATGGTGGGCACGGGGCCTCAGCAATCAAGAATTCCAAATATAAGTTGTGAATCCCATCTGACTTGTGGGGGGGCGGGGAGGGGACATAGTCAATCTAATTAGTAAAGGTTTCCTGAGGCATATATAAATATATACGATATCACGTGTCTGCCTGCCATTTGCTTATACACACTAAAATGCTTAACTTCTGCATGTCCTCCGTACTTTATGCCAGGATCTTTGTGTTATAAGATGCAGTGTGATTTTGTTTTAAGATAGTTGAGGATAGGAAATAGTATGTTTTTTGATAATTATTTATTAACGAAACTGAATGAATTAGTATGAATGGGAACAACTCTTTACTAATGCAGATATCTTACACAATTCATTTCATTTTAGCAAACTACTATGAAGCTTTTAGTAGTTTAATATTTAAAATCAGGGATATTGCAATATAAATCAATGAGCAGGCAATGTTTTATATAATAAGTGTTGAAATTTTATTTATTAATAAAAAGAACTCATGACAAGTGCTCTGAAGAGAAAACGTTATATTTATTAGTTACTCTATTTTCCAGATATTACATTGAAATCTTGCTACAGGAGTATAGACTGAGTGCTTTTGTTGATGTTGGACTGTACCAGTATGGAAATGTCTACACCGAACAACAAACAGAAGATGCAGTGAACGAAGAACAAGTTATTCAATCCCAGTCAGCAATTGTCCAGGAAGTTCAGGTTTGCTATGATTATAGCTCCACTGTCTAGAAAGAAAATGTTCACAGACAGGAGCTCTATTTGGTTATTCCTTTTACTAAATAAGATACTGTTTTGGGGGAAAGCAATTTTGGAAAATTATTGAATTGTGGCCTGGAGTATCTGTATTATAAACTAAAGAGGCTGTTACTTCATGAAATGTAAACGTTAAGCCCTGGCCAGTGTGACTAAATGGTTAGAGCAGCCGTGGGCAAACTACGGCCCGCAGGCCGGATCCAGCCCATTTGAAATGAATAAAACTAAAAAAAAAAGACCGTACCCTTTTATGTAATGATGTTTACTTTGAATTTATATTAGTTTACACAAACACTCCATCCATGCTTTTGTTCCGGCCCTCCGGTCCAGTTTAAGAACCCATTGTGGCCCTCGAGTCAAAAAGTTTGCCCACCCCTGGGTTAGAGTGTTGGCCCAAGCACCAAAGGGTCATGGCTTTGATTCCCGGTCAAGGACAAGTACCTGGTTGAGGAGCTTGCTGGAGACAGCCAATCTCTCTCTCTCTCTCTCTCTCTCTCTCTCTCTGTCTTCTTCTCTCTTCCCTTCTTCCCTCCCATTCTCTCTCTGAAAAGCAATAGAAAAAATATCCTTGGGTGAGGATTAACAATAAATAAATAAATTAAATTAAATTTAAAAAGGTTATCATTTGCAATAAAATAGAGCAATAAAAAGGCTTTGCATAGCTTAATTAATATATCTTAAAAATGTTTTGTATAGTAAATATATTTTTTAAATTGGGAAGTAGGTTATAACATTGGAAAACTGGGAAACAACTAATGCCATCAAGGAAGTTCAGAGGATCACGGTAACCAGCCCATGTATAGAAGTCGGTTCCTGCTCCCTTTACCAATATAGATTAACTTACAACATGGAAAAAACAGGTAAGTGATAAATAGTAAGGGAGATTTTCTTTCTCTTTGTGTGTACATGTAATTATAGAGAGGTATTTGCTGTAGTCAAATTCGGTTTTAATAGCATACTAGACAAAAAAAAAGCAGAAAAATATAGAGAAAAGCTTTCAGACTGGGATAGAAAATGGCATCAATAAAAACACTTAAAATACGGTACATACTATCATTGTCTCCTATAAGGATCATGGTAAATACACATCTAAGTGCACACAAGGATTTTATATATCTGTGACTCACAGGTATAAGTTAACAGAAATTAAATTCATCACTGCAGGGAAGCAGCACATTGCTTTCAATTTCTCAAATTAAGTGATAGACCCACGAGACCCTAATTATCTGTTAATAAAAACGTCGTATTTCTATATTTTGTAATAGATCCTTGGAAAATAAATTTTGCTCTTTCTGTTAATTGTTTCAGTCAGTAAATACAATAAGCCAAATACAATGCTTATTGCTATGGGAATATTAAAACAATAAAATATGAGCCCGGTCCTCAAGAGACCATAATCCAATTAATTAGTCAATATTGTTGAGCTTGAATCAATTTCAGAGCACATTAAGTGACGACATATGGCGCAGACTATGAGTGATTTTTAAAGAAAACAACTATATGACATCATTGTTGGTAGTGCAGAAAGATTTCAACTCTTCTCCTTTTTCATATTTTTCCTAAATGCATCCAAGCCTTGCTACCTGCTGATGCTTCTGACCTCATACTGCAGTCAGCCCTAAATGACCTCTGGTCTTTAAAACCGGATACAGTTCAAGTAACAAGAACGCAAAATCCCCAAAGTTATGTTTACACGGTAACCTTTATATCAACTAGAGGTAAGCATGTATTTCATTTTGCAGGTCTCTAAAGTTTTTTTCTAGGAAACAAATTTATATGCTGTGCCACTCTGCTGAAAAAGGTAAAAGCGACCCAAAATGACAGAGGGGAAAAAATTGGATTCACAGCCTTGATCGATTTTAGAAACAGTAGAAATTAAATGGTTAATTGTTTCCTACTGTAATTGAAATTCCTATTGTATTTTCAAGGAATGTCTAACTCTAATGCATGAGACATACACGATCTATTCTACAAACACATTATCAGTATAATAGCCTTTTATAAATTAGCAAAACATCAGTGAAGATATTCATTCTGGAAATGAAATGTAAATTTAAATTTGCTTAGAAGATACAGGTCTGGCCAGATCTTGCAGGATGAAAGAACTCTGTGGTCCAATCCAGGTGGGAAACACTGTTTACCACGGCTTCTCCTTGAAGATTGACAGAATTTATAAAAATATTAAAATCCCTGAGGAATCTTGCAGTGAGAAACAAACAAAACACTAGTTCACCTATGTTTAATGCAACATTTTCCAAAATTATTTGCTCTCGCTATGCTTTTTCTTTCAAGTAATAGCTGTTAACTTATTAATCTTTCATATTTTCGAGTCTTACAACCAATTCTAGCAACAAATTTGGGTTTGGGATATCTCGCTCAGGAAATAGGCCCCTGAATGTGTGTGAGTTTACTTTTCTTCAGGCAATCATTATTTCCCCATTCATGTAAGTAAAATGTTGCTTCAACATTTGTCTCATTTTATGAAATTGTTAATTTGGTTGTTGGATGGAGGTTGAAGAATTTCATTTAACCGGAATTGAAGTTCTAAAAATTACCACAAAGTTAGATTGTCAGAACACTATACACACAAAAATATGGTTATCCTTGTTCTCCCAGCAACTTACTTATAGATCAGACTGAAGGCCCTGCATTTTCCTTGTTCATTTTTATTTTGTGATACTGGAACTCCAAATAAAACCAATTTTTAAAAGTTTGTGTTCTACTATTGATATTTTTTTTAAAAAAAATACATTTTCATTGATTTCAGAGAGGAAGGGAGAAGGGTCGAGAGATAGAAACATCAATGATGGGAGAGAATCATTCATCGGCTGCCTCCTGCAGACCCCCTACTAAGGACTGAGCCTGCCACCTAGGCATGTTTGCCTGGGAATCGAACCATGATCTCCTGGTTCATGTATGCTCTGTGTTAATATTTTAAACATAAAACCATGTAGGCATCACCTTTCTATTAAAAAACAACCACGCTTTAAGTACTAGAAATACTCTCCTACTTGGCATGATGGATTGGAGGCAACCAATAGTGAGCAGAGAAGGGAGGAAATAACACAAAGATTGGGAACAAAAGGGAATTTCTTAGATCTGTACCAACAGAATCCAGCGTATCTCGATATGGGCAACTTTTCGTGAAGAGAGGATCTTTATTGTGAGTTACTGAATTTTGACAATTACCTGTACAATGAGTTTAAGTTAATATTTGTTTGAAGATTAAAGATTACCTGTCATCCCAAGCCCTTAGTTCTGAACATCATTTATATCTGTGCATTGCCAAAGAAACAATCTGGAAATTCCAGGAGACCTCATGAAGGTGAACTGATTCCTGTATATTCAGAATTATTTATTATTTTTTACATCGTCTTAATTACAGGCTTTCAGTATCTATATCTCTTCTTTTGAAAAACAGTGCATTAGATTATACAGTTTTTCCCCCCTAGTCAATTTTGAGTTAATTTGGGAAAACTATTCATTTGGAGTCTGTTAAATTGGGTGCTAATTTATTTAGGTTTGCCTCATTGTCTTTTTAAAAACTATTGAACAAATATGTCTACCTCAGTAATAACCAAGTAAGCTAATATTAGCCAATTAGATGTGGTTATTGCCATTCTAAATTAGAACTCTTGAAAAAGACATAGGACACTAAAATGATCACATATTATTAAGTTAATGATCCCGTAATTATTACTAAAATATGGGAATTATATGAATATGTTGTAACTAATTAGTAGAATTAGCAGTAGAATTACTAATGTTCTAACTCTTCATGAAAAAGAAGTTACTAAAGTTCCTGTTGTTAATTTAGTTTCAGGCAGCAGTGGAAGAGATGGTTAGCGCTAAGTGTCCACCGCAAATTGCAGATTTGGAAGAAGGATTTGTTGTGAAATACTTCAGAGATTACGAAACTGATTTTAACATGGTACGGAATGTTTAATGAATTGTGGAAGTGACCAAATAAGAATTCATGTAAATGTCTGGAATTTTGTCATTTCTTTTTTGAACTAGCATTAATTCCCTATCACTCAAAGTCAAATTACAAACGTAATGTTATGGTAAGGTCTGTCCTAACATCTCTTTGGATTGTAAAACAATTCATTTGTGAAAGCAGTATTTCCACTGACCATGAATTTTCTTGAACAATAGGATTGTAGGCAAATATAAGATCGATAGAGTTTTTTATTGTTTTCTTCACTTGGATGCAGAGTATATCCCTTTTTCTCATTGGCTTCAGAGGATATAGTTTGTAGCACCCATGAGTTTTCTTGAACAATAGAATGTAGGCAAATATAAGATCGAGTTTTTGATTGTTTTCTTCACTTGGATGCAGAGTATATCCCTTTTTCTCATTGGCTTCAGAGGATATAGTTTGTAGCAGGGCATCATTGCATAGCACATCACTTCCCTTGCATAGCACATCACTCTGCTCTATTACGTTTTCAACTGAATTTAACAAGTCTACATCTATTTGGGTTCTCCTATCCTGGATGCAGTACTTGCAGCCATGGGAATTACACAAATAATTAACATTACACTTCCTTCCTTCATCTTTCATTCATCACAACACACATTCTTTGCTCTACCCTACCTTGACAATTTGAATTTCACAGCACTGCTTTGTAACATCCCTGCTTCTCTGCATGTATTTTACCCTTTTCTGAAGCTCCTTGGCCCCTTTTCCTTTTAAATAACTCCTTTTTATCTTTAAAGACACCTCATGTGCCACTTTCTCTGTCATTTTTCTTGATGCTTTTATGTGAGTTAGAGGCCTCCCTTCAGCCTTGGTTTTATAACCCTTGGTTCCTTCTTACAAACTGTTATGCAGTGGTTCTCAACCTTCCTAATGCCGCGACCCTTTAATACAGTTCCTCATGTTGTGATGACCCCCAATTTCATTGTTACAAATTGAACATAATTAAAGCATAGTGATTAATCACAAAACAGTATGTAATTATATATGTGTTTTCCGATGGTCTTAGGCTACCCCTGTGAAAGGGTCATTCAACCCCCAAAGAGGTCGCGACCCACAGGTTGAGAACCACTGTGTTGTAGGCTTCTGTGTTTAGGGATAGTGTTCCCCACTGGAACCCCGAAGATTAAACAAAAAACAAAAACAAAAAAATTCATAAACAAACAAAGACCTGGCCCACAGTGAACACGGAATAAACATTTGTGAAAGGAAGGATTCCATATCATTAAGGGGTTCATAATATGGGGGAAAGATAGGATTTGGGAAATATAGTTACAAGGGATTATGTGATTATGGGTCCAAATGAGCGATAGAGGGGGAGGGCTTTAGAATTTCAAAGAGAGAACATTTCAAGTTACAGTAATTTGGGAAGCAATGGGATCTGAGTCAGAACTTGAAAGGCTTGGGTGGAGATGCTGGGGAACAAAGCAGGCCCATCAATCATGTTTTCATTTGAAATATTATTGTTTCTGCAGGATCACATTAATAGAGGGCAGAAGACAGCTGAAACTGATGCTTACTGTGGTCGTTATTCCCTGAAAAACCCAGCTGTTCTTTTCGACTCAGCAGATGTTAAACCAAACAGACTACCATATGGAGACATTTCTTTATTTCCTTATAATCAGGTAAGCTCAACAAAATGAGATGCTAATTAAATTTGTAAAATCCCTTGGTAATAAAATTTCATGAAATTTTAAGACAAGGAAAAGTGCTTGTCATGTGAAATCATGTCACGTTGGACAGGCTCTGTGGTTCACTCTCTGGGCGCTTATGATTTCCTCTTCTTGTGATTCTCAAAACAAGAAATTAAAATAATATGCAGTACCACCCACACGTATTCTTCTTTATCTCCTATTTTTAAAAAATTATTTGCACCCATTTTAAGTACTAAAACAAATAGATATATGTTATTTTCAATATTGCTTCATTAATTAAGAAGAAACAAAAATGGATAGGCATCATAGAGTGATCTCGGGTATCTAATCGGGGAAAAGTAAAAGAAGATTCTGAGAAGAAGAAATGGCAATTTTAGGATCGGTATTAAAGTCTAGCAATTATAGATTTACCCTTTGTCTTGTTTCAAAATTCTCAAATTGTAGCAAATGTTCTGAAGTTGGTAGTTCTAAATATATTTGGCATTTTTAAGGTTTTGTAGACCATTAAAACTGGTATTTAATCACTATTTTGCAGTGACAACTTCATCTCTAAATGCTCAGTTGCATTCACACTTCAATCTATCCAAATGTTTCTCTCCCTTCTGTCTTTTAAATTCACTGAAGAGTTCAGTTAGAGTGGGACCTAATTCTTATGTAGCTTGACGACTATAAGGCATGAATTAGTTCCTTTTTTTTTTTAAGGAAACCATATCTAAAGATATATATAAAGAAATATTCATTAATTGTAAGGTCATTTTAACTTCATTTCCTCTTCTGAAAATCTTCCCCAGTTCTTCTGCACCTAATTGGCTGAAATTAATTTTTCCTTCTGATAAATTTTTATGGAAAATGCTCAATATATATTTATTGGATTGGATTGACTTAATTTGAATTGCTACAAAACAATTTAATGATAAGATATTTTTACTTATATTTTTTCTTATTTTCTATGTAGTTATGTTTAGCACACAAAGGATTCCTGGCAAATTATATTGGTCTAAAATTTCAATACCAAGACAAAAGCAAGATTACTAGAAGCACTGATGTACTATTTACATATAGTTTTGCTTATGGAAACAGGTAAGTTACATTATGAATTTGAAAACTTAAATGATACTACAGTGTATAAACTATGAAGATAAGCCCATTTCTTATTTGTTTGCTTATTATTTTTGAGAAATCATGTACACCATGGGCCTAACTGCAATTTTCTTGTCTTCTATAGGCTCTTTCTAACAGAAATGTTGTGCCAAAATTAAATCTATTGATTATGAAAATAAAAATTGGTCTAGTGGCACCATCACCCATGACCCTTTAAATAATGAAACAATGATAAACTGTTAAGTATACCAAATTTTCTAAGGAATTTTTAAAACTTTGGAATCATAGAATTTGTAGAATTCTACTTAGAGGACCTAAGTACTTTTATTAATTTAAAAGACTTCATGTAGTTCTGCATATAATTTTCTAAATCTGATGTAGTTCTAAGCTTTGATGCACCACAGGTGGATCCCATGATGAATTTGCAAACCATGAAGGAAATGAGAATAGAGAATACCCAAACAAATAGACAGTTAATAACTACAGTAGCAGCTGATATGAAGATATCTATTAAACTATGCTTAGTCATTTGGAATGGCAGCATTTATCTCTTTCTTGTAAACTCTCATAGCAGAATTGCTTAATTGCAATTTATGAGATTCTAATGCAGTTAGTATTTAATAGAAAATCTGAATCTAAATTACACACTTGGAAGGTACTGACTATAAATAACTCAGCACTTTTTTTTTGTCACTTAGAACAGTAGACAATGCAACTGCAGTGAGTTCTTTGAAAGTAATATCAAGATCTAGTTTTGCTTCTTAATATTGGACTGAGTTTACTTTTCTGTCCCTGGCATTTTTTACTAAAATAGTTTACTTCATTTTTTTTTTTTTAATTTAGAGCACCACCCATTTATTTACTTTTTATTTTTAAAAAATATTTTATTGTTGGTAGTATTACAGATGTCTCCCATTTCCCCCCATTTTACCCCTTCCTTCCAGCCTCCTTCTGTCTTGTTCTACACCAAACCACGGTTCCTTAGTTCCCTTAGCTGTTGCTACAGAATATTTTACATTCCTATGGCTTCTGCCAAGGCTATAAGTAAAAGAAATATATTTGGATTCAGCATTAAATCTTTTACTGCAATGTAAGTTTCTGTCTGCTGTCCCTTGTTAAGTAAGTTTCTGTTGCTTTTCCATGCTCATGAAGTATGCTTGATGTCTTCTTGTGAGAAAAAAAAAAAAAAAACACCTTTTGCTCTTTAAGATTTTAATGCTTTTTATCGTGTATTTGTTTACATTAAGCCTTACAACTGATCAGTATACCTAATTAATGAACCATATTTCAGCTGGACATACACGTGCATAGACCTTCTGGACCTCATACAAACCAAATACACTGGGACTAATTTTTCTCTTCAGAGGATTAGTGTGCAGAAAGCATCAGAATCACAGTCCTTTTATGTGGATATAGTATACATTGGACAGACACCTACAATTTCAATCTGGGATGGTATGTTGTGTTACTTCATATCTACTTAAACTATCTAAATCTATCGTGTAGTAAACTCTTACCATGGAAATTATTATATTCAGAAGTTTAGATAAAAACATTAATCTCTAAATATTTATGAGTTATTTTATCAAAATAATATTATTTAAATTATTTTTTAAATAAATAGGGCCAGAAGATTACTCTAAGGATAATAATGTAAACTGTCATTATAGTAAAAACTTGGTTTTATAGTCCTAGATTCTGTTTACAGATATATAAACTGTGACATTTTCATGTTTTTGTTTGATTTTTGAGAAATAAACTACCAAGAAAGGGGTCTATTCCTAAAAGGCTAATATTGGCATTATTGACATTGATATTGACATCTGTTTAGTAGGACCGAGCTGAGTCTTTTCATGGACTTGATAGCTATAATTAATGATGTGATAAGTGAAAACTTTATTTCTGAAAGTCTTAATATTGTTTTTCTAATCATGTTAGTAGATATATATATATATATATATATATCTACTGTGATAATAAAATAATTAAAGTTAAGCTGTGATTTTTTAAAAAAATCAACCTAACTCCAAACAATTACCTTAAAACGTTTTTCAGAGTTTTGGAATGTTTCGGGAACTGTTTTCAAGTGCAGGAGCATGAGTCAATTGGTAAAAAATGAAATGTTACTGCTTTAGAGTCGCTCCTTTTGAAATTGCTGTAATTAAATCTACATTATAATTGGTGGAACACATGTAGACCATAGGTGATTTGTACTAGGGATCGATGTTGTAGTTTGTTAGAGTTTATTTAGTACCTACCGTGTGGCAGGCACTGTGTTGGGCACTAAAGAAAGAACAGTGAACAAGACAATCCTGGTCCTGCCCTCATGGGGCACATGTCCTAGTGAGTGGCACCTGGAACAGAGCCGAGCTAACTGGCCCACAGAAGGCTACATGGACCCTAGGGCTTGGTGGCTTTTTAGTAACAATTTAAAACTTTTTTGTTTGTTTGTTTGTTTGTTTTATCTGATAAGGCTCATAGGTCAGAAGACTTACTAGTAAAGCTTTATATTCCAGGCTATTTCGATAGCCAAGGCCAGTATTTTCTAAAATTTGATTTTAAACAGCTTATTCCGTGACATCTGGATATTATTGCATGGTGGTTTTCTCTTCAGCAGCAGAAGCTATGCAATTTTACTTCCCATTTACTTTATGTTCTTTAGAAATGCCAACGAGAAGACTCCCAGCATTAGCAAACAAAGGGATATTTCTAAAGCACTTTCAGGTGAATCAGACCAAAAGCAATGGGTCAAGTGTGACGAGCCAGTATTCTGTCACCATGACGTCATATAACTGCAGTTACAATATACCCATGATGGCTGTCAGTTTTGGGCAGGTGAGCCTAGAATTTTTACAAGTTACTATTTCTTTTCTATTTCTGAAGCATTAGCTTTGATCTAGTAAACTTTCTCTTTAATCTTTACAAATAGCTGATATACAGATTGAATATCTTTTAATAGGGTGGAGGTTCATTTGTTTGCCTATGGCTCCAACACCATTTATTGAAAAGGCTATCCTTCCTCCATTAAATTACTTTTGCCCTTTGGTCAAAAATCAGTTGGGTATATTTGTGTGAGTATATTTCTGGATTCTCTGTTCTGTTCCTTTGCTCCAAGTGATCTTTCCACCAATACCAACATCAGCCTTTTGAAAACTGTAGCTAGATGTGTCTTAACATTAGGTATAGTGACTCCTCTCACTTTATTCTTCTAGTAAAAAATTGTTTTAAGCTATCCTAAGTCATGTGTCTTTTCATATAAAATTTGGATAAGCTTGTTTATGTCTACAAAAGTCTTGCTGGTATTTTGATAAGAATGCACTAAACCTAGATTGTTTTTGGAGAGAATTAACACCTTTATTATGTTGAGTCTTGCAATTCATGAAGACATTGTGTCTCTCCACTTATTTACGTCTTTCTTGTTTTCTTTTATCAGCATATCTAGGTGGTCTTTGATTATTTTCATCATCATTTTGCAATTTTCAGGTCAGACCCAGTACATGTTTTGTTAGATTTACACGTATTCCATTTTCTTTGAAGCATTGTAAGTGGCCTTGTGTTGTTAATTTTTATCTCCACACGCTTGCTATTTGTATAGAGATATGGGATTGGTTTTTGTGTGTTGATTCTATATCCTGAAACTTTGCTGAACTCCACGAATTTTACAAAGTAAATGCTCTCATGTAATCACTACTCAGATCAAAGATAATGAAGTCATTAGCTCCCAAGACACTCCCTTGGGCCTTCTCCTTGTCATTGGATCACTTACTTTTCACCCCTAGATAACCCTGTTTTGACTTTTGTCACCATTAATTAGTTTTGCTTATTTTTATTATATCAATGAGTAATACAGTATGTACTCTTTTGCACCTAGCTTCCTTTATTTGATACAGTAAGATTCATGTGTTGCATGTAGCTCCAGTTCATTCTTCTTTATTGCTTTACTGTATTCCATGGTGTGAATATACCACAATTTATTTATCCTATTGATGGACTTCTGCATTATTTCTAGTCTGGAGCTATTGTGAATAAACTTGCTAGGAACATTCTTGCATAGGTCTTATGACACTTATATTTAATCATCTCTGTGGGCATTGGGGCTAATAGTTTTAAATTTCACAAGAGTAACAGATCACTGTGAGGGATCAGAAACAAGAGGATATAATTTTCATGATTGGAGCTACAATTTATGAATTTTTATAGCATGTGTTACTTTTGTTAATTGGTCGGCACTCAACACTAGTCAGATATTTCCCAAGTCTGAATCATTCACTGTACTGATCATTCACTTTCTCATATTTTTAGTTAAGTTTTCAAGTCACCTTATGCATTTATCCAAAAAGGTTCCTTAGGATTTTGATAGCCAAGGCCACATCTCGTGTTTCTTTGCCTCCCCACAGTGATTAGCACTGCATCTTGAATAGAATCCCTGCTCAATAAATATTTGTTCCTTGAGTGATGGAGGGTACACTCTGAATTAATGAGGAATTACTGTGGTTCCAGCTGATGGCTGCGCAGATGACTGAGTTGACTTAGGCCTCATTATTGCAGCTCTTTAGGTATGGTCTGTGTTGATTTATGTGACTCTCCTTAATGTCCTAAAGAATCCTGAATATGTGAGGCTCATTTATGTCGTGTCCCGGGATTGCACCATGGTGAAATGGAAATCATCTTCGCCATTGTCGTGTTTAATCATCTTATCAATATTTATTTTGGAAATTAGGTAATCACCAACGAGACAGAGAATGAGTCTGTTTACAGAGGAAGCAATTGGCCAGGGGAGTCAAGGATCCGTATTCAAAGAATTCAAGCAGCGTCTGCACCTCTCAGTGGCAGCTTTGACATTCAAGCTTATGGACATATTCTCAAAGGTATATAAAAAGGTCCAGGACAGTGGTCTATGTGTCAGTTAGACAGTGCTGCTCTTTGCAAACATAGTGCACACCTTAGTGTATTTCTTTCTAATGTCACTTCTCTATGTGATTTACATAATTTACTAAGGTAAAGGTAAATGATTCAGAACAAATTACATTTTCACATTTTCTAAAATTTGCCTGCATGAGGTTTATTCTTCATGTTGTAAAGTTTCATAGGTTTGACAAATCCACCATTACAGAACCGTACCGAATAGTTTTACCACCCTAAAAATCATCTGTGCTTTACCTGTTAATTTCTCCCCTCTTCCCCTGAAATGTTGGCAAACACTGATCTTTTTACTGCCTGTGGTTTTGCCTTTCCCAGATTGTAATTTAATTTTTTCTCATTTAGCAATATTCATATTTTTATGGTTTGATGGCTCATTTCTTTTTATCTCTGAATAATATCCACTGTGTGGATGTACCAGCTTATCCATTCACCTGTTGAAGGACGTGTTGATTGCTTTCAGTTCGGGGCAGTTATGAGTAAAAACTTCCATAAAAATTCATGTGAAGGTTTTGGTTTGGACATATTTCCAGCACAATTGGTTAAATACCTAGGTATGCGATTGCTGGATCATATGGTAAGATTATGTTTATAAGGAACTGCCGAATTGTCTTCCAAAGTCACTGTACCGTTTGGCATTTACACCAGCCATGAATGAGTATTGCTGTTACATGTGGGCCTACATGTAACAGCAATCCTGTTATATTTGGTACTGTCAGTTATTTTATTTTATTTATTTTAGCCCTTCTACTAGGTGTGTAGTGCTATCTTATTACTGTTAATTTGCAATTCTTTAAGGACATGATATTAAGTATCTTTTCATATGTTTATTTTTTATCTAATATATCGTTAGGTAGGGTGTCTGCACATATTTTGTCTACTTTAAAATTAGGTTGTTTGTTTTCTTATTTTTAGTTTTTAAGAACTCTTTGTATATTTTTGATATGGGTCTTTATTATATACTTGTTTTGCAAATATTTTCTCCCCATGAAACAAGCCACAGATGGGGAGGAAACATTCTCATATTTTATTTATTGCTTCACCAGATATACCAGGTCATATCATATTCTTAAAAGTTTGTTTCTCCTTTGCCCTGGCTGAGTGGCTTCATTGGTTGGAGCATCATCCCATACACCAAAAGATTTTGGGTTCCATTCCCGGGCAGGACACAAACCTGACCGGGTTGCAGGTTGGATCCCTCATTGGGACTCTTATGGGAGGCAACTGACCAATGTTTCTCTTTCTCTCTCTTTCTCTCCCTCTCTCTCTAAACATCAATTTTAAGAAAACATATCCCCAGGTGATGATTTTTTTTAAAAAAAGTTTATTTCTCTTTTATATCCATGGCTTATATGTTGCCCATAAAGTAAATTGATATTAAAAAGAAAAGTATTTAAGCCACGCCTATAATGAGTTACATTACTCATGTAATTTTTGTTTCCAAGAAATATGTAAATTCTTGACATCAGCAGGATGCAAATTCATTTTTACTGTGTCGGAGGAGGACAGTTGGTTTCCGGGCGGTACATTTCATGCGTTCTAAGGATGAGCTGGGGTTGTGACTCTGACTCCCTCTGTGAGTGCAGGCCTCCCCGCGGCGGTGTCGGCCGCAGATCTGCAGTTTGCTCTCCAGAGCCTGGAAGGAGTGGGGCGAGTCTCCGTTACACGCGAGGGAACCTGTGCTGGATACTCATGGAACATCAAGTGGAGAAGCGCATGTGGGAAGCAGGCGCTGCTACAGGTGCCCTCGTTGGCTTGGTTTCTGTTTTCTTCTGTGTGATGCATGCTCATTGGCACCCTGCCACAGTCTGAAATGATTGGAAACTGTGCTTATTTTTTGAAAATGCCAACTATCGACTAAACATGAAAGAAAGGAAGTTGAGGAGAAGGTTGTTCAAAATTAAGTTGACCAGGTATTATCTGCCACGGAGAATAGTTGTCCATACGTTATTCCCTATCCCTTCTGGGAAAAGGCCAGGAATGGGTGGGAGAAGCCGAGGCAGGGCCAGTCTCAGAACTAAGTCTGTACATTAGGAAGGTGGGGGGGAGGATAACCAGCCTCACTGTCCATGGTTCTGCCACGATGCCTGAGAGCAGTGTTCGGGGGCGTTGGGCACTTTTGTGGTTTTAAAGATGACTTTTCATCTTCATTGGGTAGTCACAGCTTACACTCTCATCTGCTTACCTGTGAGCAGAGTGTGGAAGGGGGCAGGGGAGGGAAGTCAGGCCGACTAGGTGAAGGAGAGAAGTCTAGAAGAGACTCTGGACTCAGATTGTCAAACATTAACAAGATGATGCTTTCTATGAGGATGAGAATGTGAGGAAACAGTCTCCCTCATGCTCCATGGGTAAGAAAGGAAATTAGCACAACTTTTTTGAAGGATATTTAGTAGTTATAAGACTTATCGGTACCTTGTGATTCAGCACTCTTTGCTCTACAACTCTAGTCTACTGAAATAAGGATGCAAATACTAAATGTATAGGCACAAAGCTAGTTGCTGCAGCATTATTTATAATAATGAAAACCTAGAAACCTAAATCCCAATTAATAGAAGAGTGGTTGTTAAACTGACACGCCCTCAATACTATGCAGCCATATGTAGACCCACATGTGTCCATGACATAAGGTGGAAAAAATAGAGCTCTGCTTATGAAACCATTTGGAAAAAAAGAAAAAGAAGAGATTGAGAGGAAAAGGAAACAAACAAACAAACAAAAAGGTATATAAATACAGAGTACAATGTACCGTACGTAGGCTGTATGGATGTCATAAAGATGTGGAGGGTATTTAGAAAACACACACATGGCCTGGAAGTAGAATTAGAAAATTCTGCAACTGAGACAGCCCTAGTGACTGGGGTATCTCTGCTGATGTGCGTGCATCTACTGCCTTCTCTCTTTCCTGCCCAGTCTCCTCTGCCTACTCATCATTTTGGCTCACACATGACCTTTTTCAACTTCATAGGTTATCAGCGTGGAGACGCTGATCTCATTGCTAGCCTGTGTACACTTCCCAAGGCTACCATATTGGTAGAGGGTTTTGCAAGTTGTACATTTTGATTTGGTTTTACATTTATCATTGGCAGAACATAAAATTCCATGAGTGGATAACAAACCAGGATAGTCAGAGATGAAAAATGTTAGAAGTGGGAAAGCTGGCCCTTGGGTGGGAAGAGGACTAAATTTTTAATTATTAAAACACCACCTGTCAAAGTGGCATAGAACATTTTGAGAAAATAAAATTTAGTAAACTATTTTCCTTTGATATATTTTATTCTAAAATTCAAGCTAACATTAGTCATTTCATTCAAGTTATAATTGATATAATATTTGATAGTGCAATTTTTTTAGCATTTTTTTCCTTGGGTAGGTTATGCTCCTTTTCCAAGAAATGTGACTGAAATGGTTCTGAATGTTTTTTTTTCATCCCTTATCTTTTATTCACTTTCAACCATGTTAAAATTTAAAAAGAAAAATTGGTGTGTTCATTAGAGCTTTCTAGTAAAATAATTTTGTCCAAAAAAAAGGTTAATGATTCCAACATTATTGGAGAAATGGCTAATATGACAGTTACGAAGGTCAAGGAAGGTGGCTTATTCAGACAACGCATACTTGGAGACCTACTTCGTACCCCCAGCCAACAGCCACAGGTATTTTTGAAATTTTCCTCATGACGTTCAGTACATTTATAATTTTAAATGTATAGCTAGTTTGTAATACAGTAAAGGCCTGGTAAACAGGAGAGATAACATCTTTATTTTCATGTGAATATTAGTGTTCACAGTTGGTCAACTTAATAATATTATTTTATGACCTTTGGGAAAGTTATCTTCCTTATAATAAAAGAATGGATTTCTAAGCTCTAGTACTGCCTGTTAGAATTTGAAACTATATGCTTTCATTTAATCTTTGCAGAAACTTTGTGTAGTGATCTTTAATGTTACCACTTTAATGATGAGAAAATTAGAATATAAGGAGTTTAGGTGACTTTTCTTAGAGTAATCTTCATGGCACTTAAAACCAGAGCATAATATGCATTTAGTTTTTATAATTATTTTTATGGTCCTATGCAACTCTCTTTCTCACCTCGAGGGGGTTATACATTTGGTACAGCAGAGATGTCATAGGTTTTGTTCAATGTTGTATTTCCATATTCTAACATTTACAACTGCGCCGGATACAGAGTAGTTACATCTGCTGAGTAAATGAATGAAGGAATGAAGTGTCAAAGCAGAAAAAGTCCAAGAAGAATAAACTACTTTTTATAAAGAAACAAGGAAACAGAGTTTCATCGTGCATTCTAAATTCTGTGCATCTTCTTCTGCAACCTCTTTATCTCTATCCTCTGTCTCTGTGTTTATGTATTTGAAGGTTGAAGTCTCTGTTAATGGAATTCCTGCTAAATGTTCAGGTGACTGTGGGTTTACATGGGATCCCATGACAACTCCCATAATCCGGACCATAAGCCCTTCCAAAGGTAACCTCTTGCTTTTTAACTGAGATTATGGGGTGGAAGCAAAAATGTAAGTTCTGGCCCTAGCTGGTTTGGCTTAGTGGGTAGAGTGTTGGCCTGCAGACTGAAAGGTCCCGGGTTTGATTCCAGTCAAGGGCACATGCCAGGGTTGTGGGCTCAATCCCCAGTGGGGGACGTGCAGGAGGCAGCTGATTGATGATTCTCTCTCATCATTGATGTTTCTATCTCTCCCTTCCTCTCTGAAATCAATAAAAAAATATTTTTAAAAATGTAAATTCTGATAATGATATTTTTATATTCCGTGTCACCAACTAAGGCAAACAAACAGTTCTACATAATAGTAAAAAATGAAAGTTATCAGATTAGAAAGCTATGGACATATCATTGATGACTTATTTTTGAAAAGCAGAAACCTTTAAAGTTGGACTCACTAGTCTTCTCTTTGTTCAGTTTCACACCATTAGAATCAGTCTCTAAAATTTTATCTGATATTGAGGCATTTTTCTTAAACTCTAATACCTAGGGCCATGGTTGGCAAACTGCAGCTCGCGAGCCACATGCAGCTCTTTGACCCCTTGAGTGTGGCCACGAAGTTTCAATTGCACTGTATATGCACGCCCGCACGTGGTATTTTTTTTTTGTGGAAGAGCCACACTCAAGGGGCTGCAGTTTGCCGACCACTGACCTAGGGTATTGACATCTTTTATCATATGAGACCAC